ACATAGGTGAGGAAAGAGAATCCCATTTTGCATTTTCAAAACCACTTTTCATTTACTTCCTGTGTTATATTGTGCAAATCACCTTCCTCCCTTGACCACTGAAAAAGGAACCATCCAGTAGATAACCTGTATTCAAATCCCTGGAAAGAGTAGGAGAAAGTGCAGCCAGGTATCTTCCCCTGGCTGTTGGTAGGGCTGTCCAAAGCTAAAGTTGGCTGTCTATCCATGGAACTGAGTTCTCTGTCTATGAAGCAATCAAGAGGATGCTAGGCAATCCCTCCTCCAGCCCTGGCAAGACCTAAGGGAGGGTGCTTGCCAGCCCAACCACATGACTCCTTGCTTAACACCATTATATAAACCTCCCTCCAACTCTCACCAGAGCATTTATTTATTAATGCATTCATTAATTTGATGAACATCAATATTTTAATCATTCAAAATAGCATTTGTTTTATTTATTTCATTTTATTGGGATAAAACACTTAACAAGAGATTCACCCTCTTTCGTTTTTATGTGTGCCATACAGTGTTGCTGACTGTAGACACAGTGTTGCTGACTGTAGACACAGCATTGCACAGCCGACCTCTAGAATGGAACTGAACATCTTGCTTAACTGAAACCTCATGCCCAGTGATCAGCCACTCCCTTTTTCCTCTCTCAATCCCTAGCCACCACCATTCTGCTCTTTGAGTCCATGATTTTGACTATTTTAGATACCTCATAGAAGGGAAATCATGTAGCATTTGCTCTTTGGTGAATGCCTTATTTCATGTAGCATAATGTCCTCAAGGTTAATTCATATTGCCTCAAATGGCAGGATTTCCTTCTGTTTTAAGGCCAAATACTATTTCATGGTATGTGTATACCCCATATTGCTTATCAACATATCTGTTCATGCACAGGTAGGTTTTCCCACATCTTAACTATTGTAGATGATACTAGAATAGCCATGGGTGTGGGCAGTGCACACAGATGTTTTCAGTGATAGGAGACCCCCTCTTTATCTCTCTAGGGTAGGGGGTAGGGAACCTTTTTTCTGCTAAGGGCCATTTAGATATTTATAATATCATTTGTGGGGCCATACAAAATTACCAACTTAAAAATTAGCCTGCTATATTTGATCAAAGATTTAATTATCTCACCCCTAGTGCCTTGGCAGAGCCAGACCAAGTGATTTTGCTGGCTTTATACAGCCCCTGGGCCGGTTGTTCCGCACCCCTGTTTCAGGGGAATCTGAAGCCTGGAGGCTGGAGATGTTCCTATGGGCCCAAGACAGTGAGCGATGTGAAGGGAGGGATCAGATCTTGTTCATGCCAGTGGGACACAGAGGTTTAAAAAGTTACTGTGCTCAACCCCCTTCCATCTCGGGGCCTGGGGAGCAGAGTGGAACCCTTGGCGTCCTCAGAAAGATTTGCACATGTGAGAGTAGAGAACCTAAGGGAAAGCAGATGGTTCTGTACCAGTTTTCACAGAGATGCATATTGGAAGGGGGAGAAGGAAGGGAGAGATTGGGAAGGTCACTGAAGAAACTGGACAAAGGGTTATGACGGGTGAAGAGGAACATGGGGTGTTGGAGGGAGAGCTTGGGCTCACAGGAGTGTGTGATGTGCCTCTCCTGCTTATTCCCTCACAGAATGTTAATCAATTTTACATTCCCACTCATGCTTTATGGCATCGGGTTTGCTTTTGGAGGGGAAGGTGCAAAAACGGGGGTGGAGGAAAACAGAGCATCCCCATAGAATTCATTACCTTGGGATCACACCTGTATCCTTCATGATCTGCCTAGGATACAAGTGTGGCCATGGGCATGGGCAAGGCTCTCTTCTTCTCAGGACTTCAGAGTCCAGTGTGCCATGCACCCTCCATAAAGAGCAGCTAAGTGAGCAGAGGCATGCCAGGTCCATCAAAGCAGGAGCTGTGAGTGTCTGCCCCCTGCGTAGCCTCCCCCACCTCCCATGGACTAGATGGTTTTAAGATCAACTGGGGTTTTGAGGATTTATTCATTTCTCTCTGATCTACCTTCACTGTCCCTGGTCAGGATCCCAGCCAGCCTGATACAAACCCAACCCTAAATAGGAAAACAGGAAAAGAATTAACAGCAGCACCTTCTTCTAAAGTCCTGTCTAGTGCTGATAGGGCTGCCGAGATAAGAGGAAATAGTATTGAAGCAAGACTTCTCTGACTGGGAATGCTTTAGATGTGGAGATAAGCCCCCAATGCCTCCCAACACACAGACACACACACCCTCCAGAGATGTGCCCCACCACACTCTGCTGGGGGACAGGCAGCTAAGACCACAAGAGGAAAGAATTCCAAAATTGCTGGCCTGAACTCCGAATGCCATAGATAGTTTATGCAAAGTCTCTCACTGTTGTAAAATGTAACACAATCCACTGACAGGCCTGCCTAAGTCCGGTCCCAGTTGTTTTTTGAGAAAAACAAATAAACTTCAGTATGTCTTTTATCCCATGAATGTGACTGTGTTTTACCCCTGGTCCCTTGGGTGTTAGGCTCCTAGAGATCTGAATGCTTGCAGCTCCTAGAAGCCATCACTTAATCCCTGGGACCTTGACTCTTCTTAAGAAGTGACTTGTGACATTCAGGAAACCAATACTGCATTTTCAGGACCCACTGTGAGGGAAACTTTGGCATTGAACACATTTCAGTAATTTTCAATGTTTTTGAAGCATTAAAGCTCTTTTTGTAAATGAAACTTTCAAGGCGGCTTGATATCTAAAACAGATGATGCTCAGATGATAGCCCGGTTGAAACGGTAGAGTTTCAACTAAGTAGGTCCTGCCCCACCCCCCACCCCCACCCCCAGGCTGACACCTTCAGAGAACCCTAAGAGGTGATACCTTGAAAACCTGTGACGCCATCCAATATTCAAATGTGAAAGATAAATCCCAGGTTCAAAGGCGTGAGATAACTAGTCCTAGTCCACAAATATACATCAAATGTTGGGGAGTCTGGACCAGAACCAGGTCTCCCTAATCCATAGCCAGCTTGCCATTGCAAAACTCTTGAGTGACAAGGTGATTCTCCAAAGTTGGTTAAGCAACTTTCTTCTTTTCTCTGAGGTCTCAAGAATGAATTGATGAAGATGTTAACGTTGACATAAATTAGATGAAGGGTATAGGAAACTCCCAGTATTATCTTTGCAATTTTTCTTACTCCAAAACAAAATGGTTATATATTTTTTAAAGCTATAACCTTTTTTATTATTGATTAGAGAAGAAGGAAGTGGGAGAGGGAAGTAGAAACATCATTGATGAGAGAGAATCACTGATTGGCTGCCTCCTGCACACCCCCTACTGGGGATTGAGTCTGCAATCTGGGCATGTGTCTTGCCTGAAATCGAACCTGGGACCCTTCAGTCCACAGACTGACACTCTATCCACTGAACCAAACCAGCTAGGACAAAAAAGTTATTTTTTAAAAAAGCATTAATGTTTGCAAGTATAGATTGTAGTGCAGCCAAGTATTTTTATCTTGCCTTTCATTAGTGAATTTGGTGTAGAACTTCTCTGCTGCATTTTTTAATTCTTTTGTTGTCATATATATGAATCCCTGGGTATAATCTTGTTTTGTGTGATTTTTATAATGGTATCAAAATGTACTTAGCCACTTAGGTCTTGTTCTTTTTAATCTATTCAGTGTTATATTTTTGCAATCTTTCCAAGTTGATGTCTGTGAACTCACAAGTGAGGCTTTCATTTTGCTTGGCCAGGACCCATACTAAGCAGGTGTTAAATATTGTTAGTATCATCCCTGTATATGAATATTATTCAGTCTTCTTAATACACTTTTACTCATAGAATCCCATCATGTAAATATGTTATTTTATGCATCCTTCCCTAATAGATGAACAAACTATTTCCACTCTGATGCTACTGTACATATTGATAGAATGAATATCCTTCACCCTTGGATATCTTGATCCAGCTCAGCCTTACTTCTTAAATGAGCAGACTGATATCTGCAGATGTGGAATGACAAACACAAATTCACAGGGAGGTTTAGAGAGAGGAGCCACTTTAGAGCTCAGGGGGAAAGCACTATTTTTGGATGACCTGCTCATGTTCTGGCCAATCACAAAAACAGCTCAGCTCTTCCTATACTTCTCTATTATAGCCCTTTCCTGCTCTGCAGTTTACAATTATGTGTGTCTATGCAATTATTCGATGAACATCTGCTTATGTTGCCACTCTGAGCTCCTCGCCATCTCTCTTACCCACCTCTCATCTCACAGTGCTTGGCAAAAAGCAGTGACTCAATAAATGTTAATCTGAATGTATGAAGGAACCAATGAATGAAGTGACATTTAGATACACACAAAGCCCCTAAGTTTGAAGAATTTTGTGTTTCTTTTAACACAAATTTGGTGTATCTGTCATTGAGAGTGAATGCATGTATATGTGTGGCTATATGTTTACATATATACATATGAAGTGGTAGAGCTGATTTTCTTAGGGGGAAGCAAATGTTCATACTATCCTAGTCTTGCTCTGTTGTTAATGTAGCCCTGAGCACAGTTTACAGATTTATTTCTAAGTGTGCTCTGCTTGGTGTACAAGAGTCTATGAGACCCCACAGCCTGTCTTTTCTGCCACTTTCCCCAGCTCAGATAATACCAGGCAGCTTACACAGATTAACCCTTCTGGATGTCTGCTGTCCTCTGAGATTGAGTCTCTGCATCTGTTCCCTCTACCTGCCATGCCCTTACCCAGTTCATATCCAACTCAAATATCAACTCCTCTAGGATTTGTGCTCCCATAGAATTACTCTGTCAACTCTACCTACCATCAATGGCATTGAGGATTTCCTCCTATGCGTGAGAATGTGGGCTTCTGGGGTAGACTCTTGATTGTTTCTTCATCCCTGATTCTTCCTGCAAATGCAGAGGACAAAATATATAGATAGCAAAGTTTTATCGATTTAAATTTAAGTCAATCTCTATTACTCTTTACAGCACTTGTGTTTCTTTCTCTTTTTCCAGGTGTGTCGGACCAAGGTGATTGATCTCAGTGAAGGCATCTCCCAGCACGCCTGGTATCCTTGCACCATCACCTACCCCTACTCCCAGACCACGTTCTGGCTCCGGGTAAGCCAGTGCTTGGAGAGCCCTACATGCTCCAGAGGCCCCAGGAAGCTCTGCCTCCTGTGACCCCTTTCTTAGGATTGTTTGTCCATTGAGGATGTTCACTGTAAGGATAGGGGGGGGGAAACACTGATCAGTGGGATGCTTATGGAAATGGAATCCTTTAATTGCCCCCACCCCAGGTCATTCATGTCTTGGAAGAGTTTGGATACTTCTGTCTGCCTGGAACCTCCTATTCATTGTTCAAGACTTTTAAAAATTGCCTTCTCTTCCCTGAAGTCTGTAGTGATCCCCCCAAGAGAAAAGTGGCTATTCTCTCTCCTCTAGTCCTATACATGTTTGGTTGGTCAGCTGTTGATGGCACTTGTCACATGGTGCCATCCTCCTAAGGACTGTGAATTGCATTGAATTTTGATTTGCATGTTATTGACCTATGTTGAACCTCATAGTCTACAGCATGTCCCATTTAGCTTTGTTTCCTCAGTGCCTAGTACAGAGGTTAGCATGGAGGAATAACAAACAGTAACACCACCATCTTTGTGTGGTTTCAGTGTGTGGCAAACACTTTTAGTGTGTGCCAAACACTTTTCTCCCATCATCTCATTGAGCCACACTGTGATATGAATATTCACTTAATCCACCACTTGAGGTGAGGGACCTCAGGCCCAGAGCGACACAGTCAGCACTGATGGATGGGTGTATCTCAGAGGGAGCAGAGCCGAGATCGGAACAGAGTTTTTGATATGAGAGCCTGGGCTGTTCACTGGGAGGCTCCACTGCCCCCTCCATTGCCATTACAGAGCCACAATGAGTAATCCAGTTCCTAAAACAGGAGGTTATCACTGGGACAGCCCCCTCCTCCATCCTGTGGCTGCTTCCCCACCACGAACAGGGGCATGCATGACCCTCTGATGTTATGTGTGTTTCAGGCATACTTTTCTCAGCCAATGGTTGCTGCAGCTGTCATTGTCCACCTGGTGACTGATGGGACCTACTATGGGGACCAAAAGCAGGAAACCATCAGCGTCCAGCTGCTTGACACCAAAGAGCAGAGCCATGATCTAGGTGAGTATGTCCCCTCGGGCCTGGCTGGCTCTGGGTGCCTGATTTCACCTTTGCCCAGTGTGGTCCTGAGGGTCGGCTGAGAAGGCCTCTTTCTTCCCCTCTCCCCTCTCCTCTTTCTCATTCTCTCCCGGGCATTCTCATTGCCTTCAAGTCAGGGTGTACTTCTAGAGAAACCTGACTGACACGTTCAGGGTGAGGGGTCAGTGGTGAAATCCTCCCTCCAGTGGCTGCCTTCTGCCAGCCTCCTGTAACTCAGCATCCCTGCTGGTCCTCCAAAGTCAGGAACCTAAGTAAGGCCCTTTCCCACTGTTCGCTTCAGCACCTTGAGACTCAGGAAGCCCAAGTTGCAGCCATGTGTCCAGTGTGAATTCCAGACTTTTCCATAGGAGTAAGATCAGGAAAGGTCCAAAAGGGGAGGAGTCAGCTGCCCCAGAACACAGACTGCAGTTGGCACTTGTACCACCTGCCTCAGCATACCATAGGAGCCATGGACATAGAGCTGATGGGCAAGGTTAGAATCCAGCCCCGCCACTCAGGCGCCTGGAAAATGGGAGCTGTTTTCTCCACCTCTGTGCCTCATTAAGAGCTCTGGGACAATAATGCCATTGTACAGTCAGCGCGACCTGGGAAATAAGTGAGGCTTGAGACTGCGGTAGCCCGTGCCTAGCACACGGCCTGCCCCCAGCAAGTGCTGTTACCTGCTTCCATGTTTCCGACACAGCCATCCCAATGGGTAGAATCCTGGGCCAGCACCACAGTCCAGGCATCAAAGCCATAACACACACTCCAGAGGGAGCTCATTTCAAAGACCCCCAGATTGCAAGCTGGCGATGGGTCATTCCGGGGTCAAGCAGCAGCCCAGGGAGCAGCGAAGGCTTTTTGGTTTTGTGTTGATGTTTACTTATTTGGTTAGTTTCAAAGGCAAGGGGGAACCTCCTAATAAGGAAGAGAAAGAAAACCCCTCTGGACTTATCTGGATTCCTGGTAAATTTCCTTAAGTGGGAAGCAAATATTTTCATAGCTGTCCTGGCAGAGCGTACCACAGCCAGGCTCTGAGCAGAGGGTTTCAGCGGAGCCGGGCAGGTCCGATTCCCATGGAGCTCCTACATAACTGCTACCTGAGGCGGGGACTTCCACGTGCCACTGTCCCTCCCACCAGCCCATCTCCCATCCTCAGCACCCTGACTTCCCCTTCAGATGCTTCCCAGCTCTGAGAGAACGGACACCAAAGAGGAGGAGGCTTCATGCCCCCACCTAGCAGGCCTGCCCGGCGTGGCTGGGATCATCCCATTTACTAAGATACTGAAACTGAGTGGTGGCGTTTATTGGAGTCACATAATAAGGAAGTGGCTAAAGCAATACTTGAACCAAGTTCCACCAACGCCAAAGCCACTTTGTTTCACCCACTGCCTCCTGCCCATTGCTCCCCTCTCCTTCTGGATGCACACCTCTGCCTGCTCCTGTCCCTGCCCCTCTGCCTACCCTTCCCCCTCCTCTTCTCCCTGCCACTCTGCCTTCCCTCCTGAAACTGAGGAACTGCTCCTGGTTCTTTTGAGGGCTCTGGAGTGAGGGAAGCTTGCATGCTCCTTGGACTGTATGTCGCTGCTGGCTGCTCTGTGGCCCTCTGGAAGGCCACTTCCTGCCCAGGGTTCTCAGTCTCCTGTCCACAGGATGGTTATAGAGGCCCTTTCCTCATACCACACCAATGGCCTGTAGCGGTGAAATTGTTTCTGGGAAGGCAGCCTGAACACTGGCAGTTCCAACCAGCAGGCCCCAGTGCAATGTGGGAGGTGGGGGAGTCTGGGTGGAGGGGTGGCCCTTCGGGGGAGGAGAGGGCCATGGGCGCTAGGTGAGGGGAAGCTTAGGGGGCAGGGAGGCAAGGGGGTTGGAAAGATTTGGAACCAAGAGAAAAAGGCAGACAAAGAAACTTTCAATCAAACTCAAAATCCCCACCGGCCACCCAATGGTGCTTTTGTGCAGGGACATGAAAGGGTCTGGGGGCTTGGGGAAGGGCCGGTTGGGAAGGGCGTGACTGGCCTTGAGTAATGAGCCTGGCCCCCCCGGCCCTCTGTCTCCCCTGACAGGCCTCCACGTCCTGAGCTGCAGGAACAATCCCCTGATTATCCCTGTGGTCCATGACCTCAGCCAGCCCTTCTACCACAGCCAGGCGGTGCGAGTGAGCTTCAGCTCACCCCTGCTCGCCATCTCGGGGGTGGCCCTCCGCTCCTTCGACGGCTTTGACCCCGTCACCCTGAGCAGCTGCCAGAGAGGGGAGACCTACAGCTCTGCAGAACAGAGGTAAGGCACCCGGGTCTGCCCACCCCGCCATTGAGTAGCCAAGTGGAGATGAGGAATTCTGGAATGCGGTGGTCATGTGAATTGCCATAAAAATATCTGGGCACCTCCTCCTCCATCTCCTGGGCTCTGGGCAGCACTGCCTCTGGGCCTGCTGTCCAGGGGTGGGGAGGTCTGCAGGGCTGAGTGGTGGAAAAAGGGCCTCTTTTGCTGGCATGCAGTTCCAGTGGCTTGCAGGGGGACCCTGGGACATTGTTTTTTCTCTCTGGGCCTCAGTATCCTCACTTGAACAGAGAGAGGGTGGTGGGTCCGCTGGCCTTCAGCTCTGAAGTGCTGGAATATCCTGCTTCCTGAGTGGCACAGACTTTCTGAAAGCATAACTCTCTGAAATTTAGGAGGAGAGAGGAGGACTGTTATTTGTCTCATCCCAGTTCGCTGCGTATTTTCAGTGACGGGTGAAATCTCTGTCTTCTCTAAACCCAGCTCCTGAGATTCCCCCTCCCCTCCGCACCTTTGCCTCCTCACCCCCCTGGTCTAGGAGCCTGTCTTTGAGCTGCATAACATCATCCCCTCGGTGCCTTTGACTTGGCGTCTATTCTTGAACTTGGTTTAGGGCTAAGAGAGGAAGGTGTTTCCTGGACATCTTTTGGTGATCTTCTTACTGGATCTGAATCTATCCTTTCCTGACTGTGTGTCCTCATACAAGTTGCTTTGCTTTTCTAAGTCACAGTGTTCTGTTTTGGAGTAAATGGGTGATAACATCTACCCCATAGGGGGGTCGTGAGAGTTAAACAGTGTGCTGTAGATGAAGGTGTTCTTGCATATTGCTAGGCGCTGTGCAAAGCTAATGCGTTAGTAAAGGACATTTATCTTCCTGTGACAGTGGTGCTTTTCAGCCCAGAATCCTGCATAGAATCCTCAGAGGAGGGCGGAAGAAGCCTCGGAGATGATCTAGCATGCAGAGGTGTCCCCACTTCTGTACTGTCTAGAATCCCAGGGCCCCAAGAGGGGAAGGACTGGTCTAGAATCACACAGCATCACTCATGTTTGTTTAATGAGATCCAGCAGGAGAAGGAGTTGGGGTCTCAGTAGGCTCTCCCAGAGTGAGGCCCTCTGAAGGGAGAGGCAGCCCTGCTGGGTGTACCTGGGAGCGAGGAGCGGAACTAGGGGTGGGAGGGTGACCTGGGCCTTTCCCACGGCCCTGCTGCTGCAGAGGACACAAAAGGTGGTTGCAACACCCACATTACTCTGCACCCACTGTCTCTGTCCTCTGTTGTGCAAAGTCTGTTGCAATCCTTTGGAGGCCAAAGAGCTCCTTAAATATCACTCATTGTTACATTTCACCCGGAGAGGGCTTTGTCCTCCCTGGCTCCCCGGACTATAAAAATAAGTTAATTCTCAGAACCCAGAGAAACATTGCGGATGGAAAATGCAAATCCATCCACTCGGCCACAATGCTTTCCGTCGTCACCCAGACACCGATCCGTCTGCAAGTGCACGGAGGCCGGCACCGAGGACTTCAAGTTCTTAGTTGGCAGGTCCTGTGCCCCAAGTAAACAGCAGGGAGAGTTTAACCTGAGAAACTAGTCAGCTGATAAGTGTCTGTTGGATCCTCTAACTTGTGGAGAAGCATGGACCTGGGACAAAGTGTCGTCCTGCCTCTGTCTGGTTATGTGACCCTCACCCAGTCACCCCTTCTCTCTAGGCCTCCATTTCCATGTCTGCAAAATGAAAATGGGTTGTATATTCTCTGTGGTTCTTTCCAGTTCTAAAAGTCTGTGGTTCCCAAGAGCTGGGAGCGAGGAGAGGGAAGAGGAAGGGACCGACATTGATGATTATAGTACCTTATTTCATTATTACCTCTGTTCTGGGAGGTGTGGACGCAGTGAAGGAGTCAAGGCCATCCAGGCAGTCAGAGGCCAAACCCTGCTTTGTCTGCCTCTAAAAAACCATGCTCTGCCCACCGGAACCAGGAACATTTGTCTGAGAGAGAAGAGGACTTTTCACAGCTGCTCACCTGTGAGCATTTAGTCAGTGAGCCAGTCAAGTGCTGAGGACACAGCTCTGAGGCCTCTGTGGGCTGGGCCCAGGTTGGGACCTGGCTGGGGCAAGCAGAGTGCCCAGAACTGAGGCCTTGGGGATGCAGGGCCCTCCTGAATGCCTGGCTGGGGTGGGGGAGGACAGGCAGGACTGTGTAAATGTGCAAATGTGTTCAAACAAACAAACGAGGAGGAAAGAAAAGAAAAATAAGCAACAACTGGAAAAAGCCATGGGGTGGTTAACTGCATTCTCAAAGCACCAAGGTAAACAGCATCAGTTTTTTATAGATTTCAGCTTGTGGTAGACACATCCCACTTCACTCCGGGCCCTCCCCGGGGAGTGAAAGGTGCTGTTTCTACTCTCCCATCTCTTCCCCTCCCCTCCCTTGCCCTCCCCTCCCCTCTTCTCCCCACATCCAACCTTACCATCCCTCCCCCTTCTCCCTCCCCATTTATTCTTTCTTGCTTTCTCTCCTTGCCCCACTCCTCTCCATCTCCCTCCCTCCTCTCCTCTCCCCACTTTCCCTCCTCATTTGCTTTCTCTTCCTTTGAGAGCAGCGTGATACCTAGTGGGCTGCCATGAGCAGCATCATACTCCACATCGATTCAGGTGCTGTGTTCTGACTGATACTCCGGGTCGTCCCCAGTCCCCCTGCAGTCCTAGGAATAAACACAGGGTCCAAGAAAACAGGATTGTGTTTCAAATGAGAGGTCCAGTTGTGGAATTCTGGCCAAACCCTGGCTCCACACAGAGTTAGGGGAAGGGGGAAAGATGGGAGGTTGCATAGCAATCATAGTGGGGGAGTTAAGAGGCTTTTTCAATGAGAAAAGCAACAATCATGAATTCAAGCTCCTGTCTCCCTCCCTCTCTCTCTCTCTCTCTCTCTCTCTCTCTCTCTCTCTCTCACACACACACACACACACACACACACACACACACACACACACACATACACACACTGCCTCTATCTATCTTATGGTGCTAAATAGAGATTGAGCAGTTTATTATAAAATTCAGTGGGTCATGTATGTAGACAAATAACTTTCTTCCCTCCCTCCTTTCCCTTCTCCATCTCTGCCTACCTCCTTCCCTCCCTCTCTCTTCCATTTTCCTTCATTCCTTCCCTTCTTCTGCCCCCCTCCTTTTTTTTTTTTTTTTTTTTTTTTTTCATTTTCCTTCTCTACCTCAAACTTCCCACAGTCTCCATGCCAGCCCATCGGGAAGAGGCAGTTGGAGAGAGAACTAACTTTTAGAAGGTCAGCTTCAAAAGGAAAGGCATTTTTCCTGCATTCATATGAGCGGGTGGTGGGCGCCCACAGGCTGGAGTCCAGAGTTCCTTGGAGCTGTGCGCTGACAGGAGCGCATGTGTGAAATGTCCTCCCAGGGGAATGTGTAGGAATTCATATGTAAAATTTGGAGCCCAGAATGAAGCTGCCCATGTGGAGACCACAGGCCTCAGGTTGCTGTCCACAGGTTCAACCAACTTCTCAGCACCTCTCTGAACACCTGCCGGGTCGCTGGTCTGAGGGATACCCCTGCACGGAAGTGCAGTGCCTGATGTGTGTGCATCCCCACTGTGCTGGGGACTCCTTGACTTCACCGGAATGCTATCCAGCTTCACCCATCAGTGTCCATCAGATCCTGCTCTTCTAATCCAAGTCCTTGTCAATCTCTGAGATCAAGTCTACTCTCCCCTTCCAAGGGCTTCGCATGACACACCTCTGTTGTTTTTCCCTCATAAAACTGTGACCCCTGACAGCTGGAACTCTAAGAGCTTTCCTGGTTCTGCTCTCTCATCTGAGAATGGGACACCTGCAATGAACAAAGCAACCTGGTCTCCTGAAGAGAAGTGAGTGACCCAAAGTCACCCAGACAGCTGGGGCAGAACTGGCATTTGAATCTTTTCCCCTTCCTCAGAGGTTTTAACACTGCTGTCCCTCCAGCCATTAGCTAGGCACAGGCCTCGGTCCCACAGGCAGCCTGGGACCAGAGTGAACAGCTGCCTCGGCCGGCGTGTGCCCTCCACTAGGCACACCAACTCACCTTGTCCACACAGAATCTCTGCTCTGTCCCACCACATCACTGGCTTCCAGAATTCCAGGATCTGGCCCTCAGCCTCCTGCCATAGGAGCTGCATCATCAGTCTCTCAGTCTCGCTGCCCACATGCCCTTGCAGCCGTGGTGCCCAGAGCCTCTCCCTTCACTTCCTCCAGGGTCGAGCATGCTGTTGTGATGTTTGTTTTGTTTTGCTTTGTTTTTGTTTTGCTGTCCCCATATGAGCAACCTACAATGCTCTATAAACAACCTGCTGTTATTATCTCCCATAACCTCCCCATGGCATGATTGCAGCTAAGTGGCAGGGCACAGGGGTCAAGCCAGGAATTAAGGGCAGAGCCAGGAGAGAAGCCCTCGCCACCCTTTAACTTCTGTCCTGGCTGCAGGAGACCCAAGTGTCCCCTGTTATGCTAATCGGAGCCATTTCAAGTGGTGGTGGGGGCAGCAGCTGGGGGCTTGGCTGTGAGATCACCTAAGGTTTAACCTCCACATGTGAACTTGAGTCTATAAATAAACAAGTGAGAATATAGATAAGAAAACTCATAAGTATCTGATTCTCTCTGCATTTGGGACCGGGGGGAGTTCCCCCACTTTTCCTAGATGTGAGCATTTCATCCATATATTATCAGTGTTCCTTCCCCACCCCTCCCATCCACCACATTTCTCCCTTCTGGGAAGTGTCTTTCTTTTTTCTTTTTAAATTATATTTATTGACCATTCATCATGGGTATTAAATTGTTCGCCCTTTTTTTTTTTTTTTTTTTTTTTTTAATGAAGCCAGAGGCTTTCCTTTTGTTTTGTTTCCCTTGTTTTAATTTTTGTTTTTGTGTTTCAGAAATGACAGGCTGTGTCTTGGAGTAAATTATTTGGGAGCGGCAGTTGGGGTCATGTTTGTCATTTTTGGGCAATGTGTTCCCATAACCCTTTCCAGATCACTGGAAAGAGGGAGGGTCAGGGGCTTTGGGGACAGACAGACAGATCCACATGAATCCTGTCTACACAGAGTACGTTTGGACGAGCAATTTAAATTCTCTTCACTCCCCTCTTCTTGAAGATAGAATGAAAATATCACCTCAAGGAGTCACCATGAGAATGCAAATAAGATGATGTCGATGAAACACAGAGGCTGATTCCTAGTGCACATTACTTCTCTTCCCCTTTTATCCCTTCTTCAAGCCTACAAACCAGTTGCAGACAGATATGCTGAAAAAGGGGGGCTGCCTCACCCCCGAGCATATTCTGGAAGACACTAGTCCTAAGGCATGTCCCATGAAGAAAGGTAATCAGCGTTTGGAAAGTGGTGCGCCCCTTCGCCCCTCCTGGAAACCCACAATGTGATTTAAGAACATTCAAGGTTCTGAGAAGGCCTGCAATGAACAAAGCAACCTGGTCTCCTGAATACAATGCCACCTTTCTCATCTGACCACAGAACCTCTGTGGCCGAGCACCTCAGCGACTGTTTTCCTTCTAGAGCAGAAAGAGCCCGAGTACAGAAACCACTTTCTCAGGGTTTCCATGCATTGGCCTTTCTATTCAACCACATGATGAGTTCCACCTTATCCTGGACCTTGGCACAGACCCTCTCCTCTGCCTGGGATTCCTCTGTCCCAAACCTGTATGTGGCTGATCCCTTCAATCCATCCAGGTCTTAGTTCAGATGTTCGCTCCTCATGCAGGCTGACCCCTCTATACAAAGTGTCCTGCCCAGTCCTCCCCCTCCCCACCACAAGGTGCCTTGTTTCAGGGACCTTACTGCAGGCATCACCGTCTACAACAGGCTTGTGTATTACTGTTCTTTGACACATGGTCTCCTTTCTGAGACACCCAGGTGACAGGAGCCTGACCTGTCCCCTCCGTTGCTGTCTCCCCATGTGAAACAGTGTCTGGGTGGGTCTGCTGCATAGACGAATGAATGGCTCACAGGTCACCCTGCTGACAATCTCGAGAGAGAAAACATTTTATGAACTCCATTTTACAGAGGAGGAAATTGAGGCTCAGGGGGTATTATGACCTTTCCAAAGTCAGACAACTGATCAAAACGGCAGAATTGAGGCTAGAGCCCAGATTTGCCCATTTGCCCACTTGCTAAACCCTGTGCTCTTTTATTCTAGAAAATCAAGTTTTCCATCTTATTCTTTTCTTGCAAAGAATATTAATGTGCCCGGGATTGAGGAGGGCGCCGCTGGTTCCTTAATGGCCCCACAACCCAGATTAGCCTTTGTCTCTCAACAGGGCTCTCAGCAGCCCTGGGCCATCATCCGTCATCAGACGGGAGCCAGGGAAGTGCTAGGAGTGCAGAGAGAGCGCAATCTGTGAGGCGGAGGTGGAAGCCCCGCTTGGAAGCTGGTGGCTCCCTGAGTGAATCTAATTGAACTGGAGCCACGTGGCTCTTTCCCCAGCCCTTACACAATGCGAGCAGATGCACTGTTTGGTGTTGAAGCCCTTGTGTTGACTTCACAGTTCCAGGTTCTTCCAGGTCTCCTCGTGGCACAAGGCCCAGGCTGCCAGTAGCAGGGAAGAGGGCGTGGAGTCAGAACCTGTCAGCAAGTTTCAGGAACCCCACTAGCCCTGCCATTCTTAACATTTTTTTCCTAGGGGGGCGGTCTGTGGAGAGTGCAGAGCCCACGTTAATGTGGGGACTGACAGACACCTAAGTCAGATGCTTGCCCTTCCCCAGGTGTTTCAAAAAGTGAATTTGAACAAAAGAGATGAATTCTGGTCATGTTCTTTGGAGACTTTACCTTCTCCCCTCCCACACCCCACTTTTTCTAACCACTCTTCTGAGCAGGGGAGGGAGTGTGGTGGTGAGTAGTCACCCTGAACCATAGAATCTAGTTCTTACAACGACCCTTGGGAGTCAGTACTACCATCCTATCTAATAAAGAGGGAATATGCAAATTGACCATCACTGTCACAAAGAGGGCAGCACCAATCCTCTCAACTCTGTTGGAGTGCCCCAGTTCTTTCAGCCTTACCACATGGTGACAGGTGCTTGGTGCGGCCAGACCCGCCCTCAGCCCCCAACCAGCCAAGGCCGGCCCGAGGTACAGGCAAGCCTTGGATGGCAGCTTCGCAGCTGCCCAGGGCCACCCGAGGCTCAGGTAACCAGGGCCAGCTAGGCTTGCGCTGCCCGCAGTGGCAGCAGTAGAGATGTGATGGGGGCGTTGCCTTCCCCTGATCACCTGGTCGCCTCCTGCCCTGAGGGCTCCCAGACTGTAAGAAGGGGCAGGCTGAGCTGAGGGACCCCCCCTTCAGTGCATGAATTTTCATTCATCAGGCCTCTAGTAAGATACAAAGAGGCTTCCATTCAACTTGGTGTCTGGCAGATAAACACAGTAAATACTTGCTATACTGAAATGATCCCCATTTCATAGATGGGAAAACTGAGGCTCTGCATGGTTGGAAGTATAATAACATAAAGCTCTCAAGGATTTGAACCCCGGTTTGTCTGTTTCCATACGTGACCACTGATTCCAGAGTCTCCCTCACCGAGGCCAGCTCCTTCCTCCCCTCCATCATCTCCTCTCCACAGCCTCCTGACATTTTAGAGAAGGAGGCTATGAGCCCTTATCTTGCAGCTGCAGTGCCCAGGTCCCACAGGGAAGCTCCCTCTGACCTTCTGGTTTCTTCCCTCTCCAGCTGTGTGCACTTCGCATGTGAGGCCACTGACTGTCCGGAGCTGGCCGTGGAGAACGCCGCTCTCAACTGCTCCAGCAGTGATCGCTATCACGGTGCCCAGTGCACTGTGAGCTGCCGGACAGGCTACATGCTCCAGATACGGAGGGACGACGAATTGATCAAGAGCCAGGTGTGTGCAGGCACTGAGCCCGCAGCTCCTCTCCATCTGGAGAGGCTGACCGGGTGCTAAAGATGCTCTCTGCTGGGTCTCCAGCATTTAAAATAGTGCTGCTACATAGTAGATGCTCAGTAAACATGGGGTGATTGACAAGGCTCTGAGCTGTTGCCTGGGGAGAAGGGTGTGTCCCCGTACCTGGGATGCCCTCAGCCGCCACTCACTGTGTCCGCCTCTGCCTTTCAGAAGAGACCCAGCGTCACAGTGACCTGCACCGAGGGCAAGTGGAACAAGCAGGTGGCATGTGAGCCCGTGGACTGTGGCGTCCCGGACCAACATCACGTCTACGCTGCCTCCTTCTCCTGCCTCGAGGGCACCACCTTTGGCAGCAAATGCTCCTTCCAGTGTCGCCACCCAGCGCAGTTGAAAGGTACGGAGGGCCCTCTGCCTGGGCTCGCCCTGCCGCCTGTGTGGGAAGCCCAGAGCCACTTCCAGGCTCCCCTCCTGGGTCTCATGCATCAGGGTGGATTTTATCCGTCTCCCGATTTCACACTACAAAGTGCACTGATATACACGTCCCTGTGGGCAGTTAAGGGAAAGTCAAGGTGTGGACAAGTATGGCAATGGAATCCCCTCCAAGATCTTACAAGTTTTATAAAAAGGGAGGGAGGGAAGGAGGTAGTGTGGGTTAAGAGAGTAACATTTGGAAGGGATGTGACTAGTGCTTTGGATATGGTTAGGGCCCAGTAAGCCTAAGAGGTAAGTATTATAATTATTCCCATTGTCACAGAGAAGGAAATTGTCCAGGGCCACCTCATTCATGGTGGGATTCACATTGGTCTCATCTTTCTCCAGAGCCAACTGCCACCCTTAGGAAAGGCCAGCTGGGGAGAAGAGAGGGTACAGGAGGAGGCGATCCCTGGCCTCTCCTGGGCTGGGCTGTAGTTGTGAGAATGTGGATAAGACATCATCAGGCAACCTGAAGAAGAGGACACATTTGGGAAGGAGTGAGAGCCTGGGTATCCTAGGATTAAAAAGGCTTTTTGAGCTCATGGAATAACTGATGATTGGGAAGATGGAAAGCAGAGGAAGGGAGGAATTTGTGCAAAGCTCTTTTTAAAAGACTTGCTTTCTGTTCTGGCTCTTGTCGCCTTTTCTATCCCAGTTTTGCCTCTTTAACCTCAGATTTAAAACTCAGTCTATCCACCAGTTTCTCTAAGATACCCCATGATACCATTTAGCACCTTGATGGGACTGAGCTGGTTGGACAGGGAGACTGGCCACATCCCACAGTGCCCAGCAATTAACCTTCTCACCTGCTCTCAGCTCTTTGCTCCATCCCTTATCCTCTCCCTTCACACTCCTGCCACAGCTTCCCTCCCTCTAGGAATTCCAAATTCTCTCTCTTCTCTCGGGCAAAGATCCTTCCATCTTTTTCTGAAATAGATAGCCAGGCTCTGGAGGATTTGGCTTTATCCCATGGTTCTCATCTGGCACCTTCCTACAATCCAGGCCGCCTCTTAAGAGGAACTTTTCTACACTTCCTAAGATAATGTTTCCTTTTATCACCTTAGGATTTTGAAGAGAGCAGAGTTGAGGGTGTCATAGGTCCACACCACGACTGTCTTCTTTGTCCTTCTTCCACTGGTTCTACTGTGACGTCTGTTTCTTACCAAGAAAAATAGAACAATCTTTTCCCAATGCCACCAGCACTGGCCTTTGGCTAACACAGCCGCCTGCATGTTTATTTGTCTTCACTAGCTGCAGTTTTGTTTTCTCAAAACAATACAGTGGCCAGTATATGGCCTTTAACATCCTAAAATGTTAGAGCTGAGTAAGAATTCAAAGAGGTTAGTTGACTAGTTCAAGGTCACAGGTAGATTCATAAACATGCACTTAACAAATAGAGATTGAATACCTACTGTGTGCTTGGCACTAGCTATGTTCCAGAAATAAAAGAATGAAGAGGGTGTATTCCCTGGCCTTAGGATTTGGGAAGTACCAACACCATGTATGGTACAAAGAACTTGACCTTGGATCTCTAGCCCCTCCCTCCTGGATTCTCCTCTAGGTTACTTTTAATCTCAAAGGCACTTCCAAAGAGATTTGGTCTTCTGCATATTCTTTTTAACTAAAATAATAAAAACACATCGCTTTTGACACCATGTTTATAATGACTTTAATACTCATTAGAGATTAAAATTTCCTCAGGCAGATTTGTAGATAGGCCAAGCAAATTTATACCCTCTTGACTTAAAATGATAAACACAGGAAGGTCAGGGTCACACAGCTGTTTGGAAGCCAATCTCTGACATCAGCACTCTTCCCTCCACAGGGAATGCCAGGCTTCACCCAGTGTCCTTCACGCAATGTCCTTCAGCTAGTGTTGCCCGAGGGATCTCAGGCAGGGGAAGGAGAAAGGGAGACGTAGAAGTGAGGGAAGCATCAGGGGTCTCTTCTGAAGCCAGTTACTGCTATGGGCAGCCAGAGATCATCCTATTGAGGAGCGAGGGTAGATCATGCCCTCTGCAGCTCTGGAAAGCAGCCTGTGAATCTACCACCTCCATCCCTGGTTGAATGCTACTTACATGGTCGTTGACACGGTAGGACTGTGAACTTGCCCTGCGAGCAGGCAGAACACCCATCCATGCCTGGGACCTCTGCATAGGTAGTAAGGTTTCAGGGACAGTAAACACCCTTCAGAGTAGAGAGTTCAGGGCCCAGGGATTCCGGCAGGGCATGTGCAGCGTGTGTCATACCCTACTTTTTTCAAAGCCACGCATGCCCTAGCCGGTTTGGCTCAGTGGATAGAGCATCAGCCTGCGACTGAAAGGTTCCAGGTTCAATTCTGGTCAAGGGCATGTACCTTGATTGCAAGCACATCCCCAGTAAAAGGTGTGCAGGAGGCAGCTGATCAATGTTTCTTTCTCATCGGTGTTTCTTACTCTCCCTCTCCCTTACTCTCTGTAAAAAATCAATAATATATATATATTTTTAAAGACACATGCACAGGAGCAGCCACAGCTGCCAATGAAAACACCCATGCACAGCTCCGCGTCTGTGTCTGCCCCTCGGGGTTGTGTTTGATGTGGGTGGGGGCGTGTCCATGGTCCTGAATCACCAGGTTCTGCATTAGTGTGCTTCTTCCTCTCACTATGGTGCAGGATTAACGCCCGTTTACCCTGTCCCAGAATTCACATTCCTGGTTTGCATTTTTTCTCTTCTTGATTAATATTTTGCAAAGTTTTGTGCTATCTTGGCCACAAAGGAACCACATTGTCCATTCACAATTTTGATTTGCATAGCAGATGTGGGATACTCTTAAGAGTGCCAACACTTTCTTCACAGATATTTTATCTTTCATGGGCAATATAGAGAGGGTGCTCTCTGCAGATCTTTGATAATGCTGCTTCCTCCAAGCTTTCACTATGCATTGACACCTCACACCACTGCCCAAAGCACAGAGGCAATGCAGGAAGCCCAATGACTCCTCCTTCCACAGTCCTCATGCCTTTTAGTTGATGTAGGAATAGCTGTGGTTTGTTTTTGCAGCATCACAGTTTATCAACGCAGGGTCCTCTGGGGTTTACAGATACTAAATTATCTGTACTCGCCAGATGATTCACACTGACAATGACAGGAAGGAGTGGAGCAGAGGAGCTTACATACAATTGCACAGGATTCTCTCTTCCTCCTTCTCCCTGCTTTCTCTCTCTCCATAGTGCCCACTGCCTTTCAGCACACCAGAAAAGTTTCTTCCTAGTATAACTTAGTGTTCCTCTATCCAAGGAGAATATAAGCTCCCAGAGGGCAGGCTTCTTTTTAAAATTTTGTCCATTGCTCTGTTGGTAGCTGGCATATAGTGAGCGCTATGTAGATGCTTGTTGAATAAATGAAAGCTTCTGTGCAATTCACAGAGTCCTTTAAGACCTAATGATGCAGGCAAAGGGATAGGAAGAGAGGGAAGGAGAGAAGGAAGGAGGGGGGAGGGAGGGAAGGAGGGAGGGAATAAGAAGCTTAACACCATTTTCTGGACACTTTTCATAAATGTTGTTTCATTGTATCTTCTTATCACCAGGAAAGGCAGGAGCAATTGTTTTCTTTCTGTAGATGGGATATTGGGGTTTGCCTCTCAAAATAGCTAATAAGGGCTCTGGTGAGCATATAGGGCCAGCTTCCCATTAAAAACAATAACCTTCTTGTAGTGACACAACATTGGTTTTGAAGGTCAGTTTCACTAACTGTGAGAACTTAGGTCACTTCCCTCCCAGAGTCACGTCAGACTAGGAGCAGTGCTGTGAGAACACAGGAGATTGCACATCAGCGAGCAATCGGCATGTAGTAACCATCAGCTCAGCCCCTATCATTCCCTCCCTACCCCCTTCAGATCAGACCTTCCGACCTTCAAATCCCAGAGCGCCTCTGCTCCCAGCCCTGCTGTCAACACTGTTCAGTAATACCCCTGAAGAGGAAAGTGTGATTGAGAAACCAAGTTCTAGGTCCATCTCTAATTGTCCTGGGGAGGCTTGGGGCAGGCTGTGCTGATAATATACGACCTGGCAGGGAGATACTGGACTTCCCGGGTTTCACTTTTATTTACAAAATCCCCGTCCGGCCAGGTTCTGGATGGCCGTCAGCACGTCGGTCAGAGCTGGCACGGGCTGCGGGGGGCATGCTGTTCTCCCGGCTGCTTGGCAGGATTTCAGGAACATTGGGGACAGAGAGAGTGAGACCTTCAGATACCACGATGCTGTCACTTCCAGGCACAAGGGGAGCGGGATGAACAGAGGACGCAGAGCCCGGTGTGGAGCCACAGCTGGAGGCCATGCGGCACACTGGGTCAGAGCCCTCAGTAGACTCGGCAGGAGCTTACTTTGCCAGTTATTAGGAGGCAAGGCCTTCCAACCCTGGGCTCAGCGGTCCACCTGGCAAAGCAAGGGTGGGGGTCTCTTTCCTGTGCAGTAAAAACGTCCAAGAGCCTTGAATCCTAATTCACGGTGGACATGGTTAAGTTACCACCCAAGCCGGGCTCCTCCTTCTGAGCGGCTCTCTCCATCTTCCCAAGGTTCCTGGGTGTAAGTGTAAGGGTCTGGCATTACACGAGGAAGACCCTCTGGTTCGTTAGGTTGGCATAAGTCCAGGCAGCCCATGAATGAGCTTGACTGCCAGACCCCCATCGGCTAACCTTGCTTGTCTGTCATTTCCAGGCAACAACAGTGTCCTGACCTGTATGGAGGACGGGCTGTGGTCCTTCCCCGAGGCCCTGTGCGAGCTAATGTGTCTGGCTCCACCCTCGGTGCCCAATGCAGACCTGCAGACCACCAGGTGCCGAGAGAACAAGCACAAGGTGGGCTCTTTCTGCAAGTACAAGTGCAAGCCTGGATACCACGTGCCAGGCACCTCTCGGAAGTCAAAGAAGTAAGTGGGGCAGGTTCTGGGGAGACTGTCAGATTAGACAGCTGGGTCTGGCTGTCTGATTAGAAGCGAGGGTTCCTTTCTTTGCTGGAGGCAAAACCCATTCTGTGTTATGGGAATCTTGAAGGATGTTTTGAATATCTGCCTACTGGCTGTGTAACCTCATGCAAGTGACTTCCCTTCTCTGGGCCTCTATTTTTCAAAAAGAAGATGAAGGCTATAATAAAGAGTTCCCAGTAGGATGGTGTGAAGAATAAAGGAGGATATGTATATAAAGTGCTTGCCACATGCCTGACACATAGTAATTGTTCAATAAATGGTGGGTGTTAATATCATCAGTGTCAGCACCAATCAGAGCACTCGGGAAGGGACAAGTAGGGCTTGGATTTTCTTTTTCCTTTTTTTTAAAACTAATTTTAATTTTTTTAATTCTCACCAGTTGATATGCTTTTCTCATTTGAGAAACATTGATCAGTTACCTCTCATACATGCCCCAATGGGGATCAAACCCACAACCTACACATGTGCCCTGAGTGGGAATTGAACCCATGATCTTTTGGTGCAAGAGACAATGTGCCAAGCAATTAAGCCACCCGACCAGAGCTTGGATTTTATTTCAATTCATATGTATCTATGACAAAATCTGAAACTCGTGCTCGTCTCTGTTAAAGGAGTTCCATGGATGAATTTTCCTTAATCCCTATACATGCCCCCTCTCAACCCTGTAGGAGAGGTAGGGAACCAGGAGTCGAAACGCAGCTGGCCTCAGAGACACCTGGGAGTTTGGGTAGAGCATGGCTCTCACAATTTGTTCCTTGAGATGCCTCTTTTATCTCTTCCCTGAAGACGTGCCTTCAAGATTCAGTGCACCCAAGACGGCAGCTGGCAGGAGGGAGCCTGTGTTCCTGTGACGTGTGACCCGCCTCCACCAAAGTTCCACGGGCTCTACCAGTGCACAGACGGCTTCCAGTTCAACAGCGAGTGTAGGATCAAGTGTGAAGACAGTGATGCCGCCCAGGTAAGACTCCTTGACCTTGAGATCAATACTTAGGTCTGCCTCCTGTCTGCTTACCCAAGACCAACCTATAGTTCAAGAACCACTTCCTCCAGGGACTCTCCAGATGCCAGGTTTGTGCAGTAGCAGTGTCACCAGTGCAGAGGTTAAGCAATTGGATTCTAATGCTCTTTGTAACCTCTCTGAGCCTTGTTCTCTTCCCTGTAACACCGTATTGTATTTGTTCTGAGATCCTTACTCTGAAAATACTTTAGTATTGGAACCCTGATGAAGGAAATCCCATGCAATCCCAGCATATGAATTTGATCAAAGTTAAGTGACTCTAATAGGAGTGACCAAGGCTGTTTGGCCAACTATCTGCCACCATCATCATGACATCGATCACTTAAGTATTTAAAGTCAGAAGACTCTTCAAGCATAAAGAGAAAGGGAACTATATTTAGACTAAAGATACAGTTTTGAGAAAACTGTTGAAAAAAAGAAAAGAAGGAGATGGCAGAGATTTAATTTTTATCTTAGTCCCCTTATAACCTAGAGGCAGCCCAATAATCTGCCAGCCTCTGCTGGAGTTCTGTGAATTAATTATCCTTAATCCTTACACATACCCCCCTTATACCCCTCAGGTAGGGAGTCAAGAATGGGAAAGAAATGAGAGGCCAAGCTGTCTCCAAAGAAGACCAAAGTCTATAAGGAACTCCACTTTGACAGACCCAACCTGTTAGGGTGAACCCCAAGCCCCGTGTCTCCCAGTCATGCAAGGGTATTCATCCAGGTGAGGCCAGTATCCTGCCACCTGGGCCCAGTGCAGGTTCCACCTCCAGCCAGTCCTCACAAGTCTTATTGTTGGCCACCAAATACCAGGCACTACCAAACCACCACCCTCCGCTCCGCCTAGCCATTACCAAGCCCAATCCATTCTCCCTCAAAGACATCCTAAATCCTCATCCTAATGTAGGCCATCACCATTACTTTTCTGGGCCACCAGGAAGTCCCTGGTTACCTCCCTGCACCTATGCTCTGGCCTCTCTCCACTGTGCTGTCCACGTTTCAGCCAGAGTGGTTTGTTTGGAGCATAAATCTGATCATGACGGCTCCCCTGCTTAAAGGCTTATGAACCAGCAACTCCCATTTCCCTCAGGATTAAACCCCAATTCCTCAGGGTGGCATTCAAGACCTTTCCTCTCTCACCAGAAAGAATGATCTCCCCTCTGCCATCTCTCACCCTTTTCAGCTGTTTCACTAACCACCTTTGACGATTTAGCTCAGGACCCCTTCCTCCAGGGACCCTGCCTTGATGCCCCTCGCACTGCTGGGCTCAGTGCCATTCTCAGGGTCCTCCTCCACAGCATTGGACACACTTCACTGAAATCCATGGTATGCCCCACCTTACCTTCCCACCCCACTTCCACCCCCACTGGGAAATGTTTTCAGCACTTGAGACAGTGCCAAGGCACCTAGTAGGGGCTTGGGGAAATGACAGGGCAGGACAGAGAGCTGCTGGGAACATCCAGGCCAACCACCTCATTTTCCAGTTCAGAAAACTAAGACTCAGAGAAATCTCTCAACCACCCAAGGTGACCCAGCGGGGATCAGTGGAGTCAGAATCAGAACCCAGGTCCCCCCAACTGTGGACAGACTGAATTCAATAGGTACTCCCTGAAAATCCTTGCTAGTGTCCACTGAGGGATATGTGTGTGCCCGAGTCCTTCCCATCCTTGATTTCCAGGGAAGCAGAAGCCGGGACTGGCACAAGCTAAGGCCAGAGATTACCACGGCCTCACGCAGGCTGATCAACTTCCCTCTCACTCCCTTACATAAAACTGTTGCTAACCGTTACCCCGACTACTGAGCCAAATAATATTCTGGCCGCGGTCATGTTATCAAACTGAAACCCAGTCTGCCTGGGGCTTGCCAAGTACCTTTCATGGCCAGTTTGCATTTAAAGGAGAGGGAAATGTAAATGTATCAGACGATTCAAGAAGTTCAGTTTGGCAACAGGCAGAGAGGCTAGATGCAAAGGAGCAGGGTATGGCTTGTCAGCTCAAAGAATGAGGGAGCGCCTGCCAAATGGGCTCCTAATACAATTGACGTTTCTAGTTTGTACTGCAAATGAATTTCCTCTACCCTCAGACCCAGGGACTGGGAGCCAAATCTAGTATTCACCTCAGATCCCCTCTTGCTGCCTGTAAACACTCAGAAACGTACGGCCTAGAGCATCTTAAACCCAATAGTTTGTACGAGCAGGAATTCTTGGCCTTCCAAAAGAGTTCAAACCCTGGCGGAGAGGACAGGGCTCTCATAGAGGAGATGCATGTTCGCCCTCCCACTGTCACAAGAGCAAATTAACAAGGAAACCCTCCACTCGATTGGTTCATTGGGAGCCAAGATGATGGTAGACCTGGTGTCTGAGTTTGGATCCTGGCTCCACCACTTTACTAGCGGGGAGACTTGGGCAAGTTATTAAACTACTTAAGCTTCAGTTTCCTCATATACAACACAGCGGTGGAATGGTGGTAAGAATACCACCTACCTCGTGGTTTCTTTGTGAGGATGAACTGAGGTCGTGAAAGCAGCATATGTCTGAGTATCCCCTGGAATGGTGCAGCACACCTGTGGCCCCTGCACAGCAGCCCTGGGGAAGGTATAAGTGAACCAGAACACCTGTGAGGTCACATCTAGTGAGGAGAATTCCCTATGCTCCAATTGGGCTCTTACAGGAGCTAAACACCAAGGCAATGGCTGCAAAGTTATCCCAGAAAGTCAGAGACGAGGCATCCAGCATGCATGAGGCCAGGGTGTGTGTATGTGTCGGGGAGAGGATCATTGGAACCATAAGGACACCTGACCTTTGTCTCAGTAAGTCAGTAGACTATGTGGATCCTCTAGACCAGCGCTGCTTGGTCACACTGTGCGATGTGAATGCTCATAGCTGCGCTGGGCACTATGGTGGCCACTTAGCCATGTGTGGCTGTGGGTCACTGAAATGTGACTGAGCAATGAGATATGATGCCATATATAATTTTACACAGCTCGCATTTAAATATAAATAGTCCACACTTGTGAAGTGGCTACCCTATTGGACAGTTTGTTCTAGAATGAATCTCTGTAAACCACGACAAAGAACCTTCCTAATAATAGCTTTCTCATTATTAGGTGTTCCCCGTATGCCAAACCAGTGTTACAGAATTTCTCTTATTTTGACAACTCTAAACCTTTTAAAAAGACACAGTATGCCCATTGGCCAGATGAGGAAGGAAGGTTCAGGAGGCTCAGTGCTTGCCTATGGTTGCAAGAGGCAGTGGTGTTGACTGATGCTCAGCCCAGAGGTTGCCAGGGCAGGCTAGTAGCAAAGGCAGGGTCCATGCATTCGTCCCCAGGGGACTGGTGAGAAGTGCTGATTATCTCAGCACTAATCCAGCACAGGTGCTCTGAGCTGTCCAAGGTGATGATTCAGGCTCAGTTCTTATCTGTAGGTGATTAGGGGGATGGGCCATCTTGGGGTGGGGACGGGGTCTGTGGAGGTACCTAGAGGCTGGAGCAGGAGAGGAAAAGCCTGAAGGGACTTTGTGTACAAAGTTATTACTAAATGGTGGGTTTCAGCAACTCAGCAAGGGCAAGAGAGGGAGCATGGGAGTGGGATCCACATGCCCTTGGTTCCTCCCGTGGATCATAGAGGGTGGCTGTAGAAGCCTTTCTGGCAATAGGGGCGTGCAGCTGCCTTGACGGGTTCTGCTGTGGACACAGCGTAGCTCTTGGGTACAGTGCCTCTGCAGGCAAGGGCCACACCCAGTCCCACGGTCGTCCAGGGCTTGTCCACACACCCAGGTTTCCTAGAGGAAGTCAGAAACATCACCCATGTGATGTGAGCAGAGGGCAGAATCTCAGAGTTTCTCCCACTCCATCCACTTAATCTATCAATGGTACCCCTGGAGCCCAGAGAGCAGAAGGGACTTAGCCAAATCCCCCAGCAGCAGGTCATGGGCTAAATCAGGTCTTAAAGTCTCAGATCTCCTAACCAAGTCATCACACAAGCCATGTTTTCCTGCCCACGCTGCACCTAGCTTGCAGGAAGTGAATGCACATGACTGGGAACAGAGACCAGTAATTAACAGCAGCTGCAATTATTGAGCATCTGCTCCATGCCAGTTGCTAGGCTAATACTTCACAGAGACAGCTGAATTTAAGTCTTATGGCATTTGGCATTGCTGTCCCATTTCACAGACCAGGGACCTGGCGTTCAGTGAGGTCAAGTGCTTTGCCCGATTTTACACAGCCTGGATGTGATGTGACAGAAATGGGGTTCCTGTGGGCTGGCCAGGCTGCATCCAGTGTTTCAATCTGTTTCAATCCTGCAGTGCACTTCCTGGTTCCACCTTGCCCTGATGCAGCCACATTTCTCTCTGCCATTATTTTTTTTTCCTGCTAAATAGAAGAAGTTTAATTCTCCATCTCTCCTCCTTCTTCCCTTCCCTCCATGCTGGTAAATTCACAGAGGCTTACAGTCAAGAGACCTGGCCCCAGATTGGCAGCTATAGGACTGGGCATGTCGCCTCTCCATTCTTGCTGCTGGCATTTCTAAAATATGGGTGATGGTTGGTTGATTCTGAAGTACCCTTAGATACAGTATAGTGGTTAAGAGTCTTAGCTACTCTTAGAAAGCCTGGTGTGTGTACCAAACTCTAAAAGCTTCACTTAGGCTGCCCAGCCAGCATGGCTCAGTGGTTGTGTCCACCTATGAACCAGGAGGTCACAGTTCGATTCCTGGTCAGGGGCACATGCCCGGGTTGCGGACTCCATCTGATTTTCTCTCATTATTGATGCTTCTGTCTCTCCCTCTCTATGGACCTACAACCCAGGTATGTAACCTGGACCAGGAATCAAACCTAGGACTGGTCTCTGGGCTGATGCTGTAATCACTGAACCACACTGGCCAGGATGCAACATGCTTTTTCTTGCAGATATATACATAGGCTCAGAGAAGCAGACTTCTGAGGGACACAACCCTCTTAAGAAGGATTTCAACTTAAGTGTGCAAAATGGTACATTCAGAGCCAGGTACTTCAATGGTCTCTTGTCTTCCCAGATTGAATGCTCAGTCAGGTCTTCTGTGGTCCAACTCACATCAAGGACCTACTCTGAGGATCTACAGGTGGTAGGGGAGCCCTGAGTGCCCTGAGATCTAGTCCTAGAGGAGGGTTTGAACATCCAGAGAGTCTCCAAGGAGTGCTGTGCTGAGGGCGCATCAAAGCTGTGGTTGTGGGGAGCAAGAAAAGTGTGTTGGAGAGGCCAGGTGACCAGGAGACCAGAAGGAAGGACGTGCATGTAGCAAGAGGTGGGGCTGGATCTGTTGTGTGGGTTCCGCCGTGGAAGCCAGGGACTGCCAGCCTGGGAGCATGCCTGGTGTGGAAGGCGAAGGCATCTTCGCAGCAGGAGTCTTCCTAAAGCAGATTTAGTCAACAACACAGAGTGCCAGATGAGCTGGGCAGGAGAGAGAGACTGGAGGCAGCAAGACCGGTGCCTTCATGCTCCCGCCTTTTATGGTGGAGCCTTCCCGGTTTGAAATTCCCCGAACAGATTCCAGTGAGTTCTGATACATTCTCTGTTGCAAACTGAGTTCCCCAGCCAGCTCTGGCCCATTTAGTGCTGAGGTCTGCAGCCCTGCAGGGGCTGGAGGCCAAGTGCATCATAGCCTTGGGCCAAGGCTCCAGGAAATTGGGGTCAGTTTCCTACTCCCATGGGGGCCCAGCAGAATCATGGGACCTGGAGCCTGGGGCTCTGTGAGGGAGAGTTGGGGTTCTCTGTAGCCACAGGAAGACTCTTAAACTTCCCCTGAGCTCACACAGAACATCTCAGGGTGGACTATGCAAGTCGGCCTGCGGCTACATGCTGGGGATGGGCCACCCTTCACCCACGGACACGGAGATTCCCAATGACATTGGCCCCGCCTCATGCTGGGCCAGGAGAAGCCCAGAGAGGGCCCCACTTTCTCTTTTGAATCTTGTCTCCTTGCAGCTGTTTTCCCAGATGGGAGCTTTAGCCTGCATTAGCCCTTCCACAGAGTTTATTTGTTTTCTTGGCATGCACTCATTCATTCATCTCCTCATTTCTTCATTCACTCACCTACTCATTGATTTCCTCATCCATGTGTTCATTTATCTTCATTTAATAGCTAACTTCATTCCATAATTCTACCTATTCACCCCACCTTTTGTTAAGCAAACAGTTCTTAAGTGAATAGAAGAAATATCCATTAAGTGATGAATGCATAACGGAATGGCCAGGACCTATTCAAGTTTGCAGAGGCCCTGTGGCTGCCAGGTGAATAGGGCACCTTCCTAGGCCTCAGGGAGCTCATCATCTAGGAGGGGACTGATGATAGACAGCGGAGCGATGTGTGTCAGAGATCTTAAGGCAGTGTGTTCTGCAGAATCAGGAGCCATTAGGACAGTGGCTTGTGAAAGATGATTAAGGGCAGGAGGAGATAGGAAACTGCAGACAGAAGGGCTGTGAATACAGAGCATGGCCATGTGATCCAGCTTACAGTAAAGGAGGTAATTTAAACTAAAGTTCAAGGTTGGTGATGGTGCTTCAGGGAGCAAGGAGCAGGAAAATGAGGCAGAATTAAGGCTGAGGCACTCTGGGAATGGACATGGACCCGTTCCACAGGTTGGTGCCCTGGTGGGCACAGTCAGCACCTCTACCTCGTGTATTTTCTCTCTTCGTGACCTTGAAAGAGGGAGAGGAAACACAGCTTATTCTCAGGCAGATGAACCCCTGGACAGAAAGCACCCACAGTTCTCTGTTTCCAAGAGGTAGAGTCCAAACGTAAGCTGACATTTAAGGCCTCACACCTTATTGGCCTTTCCAGCTCAACCTTCCCCTATTTCTATATATCACCTCCTATATGAAGCCTTCCCTGATTACCCTTGCACAACCAGTGACTGTCCCCAACCCAAGCACAGTCACACTGACATGGCTGGCTGCTCACACGGCTGTCTTTCCTTCCCCAGCTCAGTGGGACCAGATACTGACTTGCTTTGCTTTTGGACCCCAGAGACCTGGGCACAGAATGGGCACTAAGAAATGGTTCTTGAATTCAGAGGCAGTTCTGAGATTTCTACAGGGCTGGATTCCCATTAGAACCTTAGACGCGGAAAGGGGTTTGCAGGAAGGCCTGGGTCTGCAAGCTGCACCCACCTCTGTGGTGCAGAAGATTGAGGAGCCGAGTATTGTTTATTTTAAAGACTCTAAGGAGGGCACAGGTAAAAGTATCCCCATGCCAGCTTTTTGGTACCATCATTGCTGGAATGAATGGAATGGGATGATGAGGAAGAAAGGAAGAGAGGAAGGGAGGGAGGGAGGGAGAGAGGGGCAAGAAAAAGCTTCCCGGCAAGGCCCAGGCTGTGCTGTGAGCAGATGGCAAAGGCCTGGCATGGGGTGCTCTCTCATTGGCTTAAAAGAAGCAAGCCCTGGTGTGTCCCTGCCTCCTCATGAACAGTCCCGGGCCCGTGCTCTCACTCTCCCTATGGGTTGGGGTGCATTGGGTCCCCTGCCTTCTCAGTTAATAAAATCAACCAACAAAACAAATCCCTCCAATTGAAAAATCTCTGTAGGGACACTGAGTCAGGACTTAGGGAGCCTGGGAGTTAGGCCTCTGAGAAGCTTTGGCCAGTTCAGACATGAAAGGGGGTTTGCAGAAAGGGCCCACACTGAGCCCTCCTCAGTTTCCCTATCTGTAGAATGGAGGTATGACCAGTGGAGGTATGACCAATGCGATCGGTTCCACCACGTTAACAAATTGCTCTGGTTTCCTTTTTTACTTGAGAAGCTTCCATTGAGGGTGGTAGCTCTTGGTCTGACTGTGTTTCCATGGTTTTCAGGGCCGGGGGAGCAACGTCATCCACTGTCGGAAAGATGGAACTTGGAGCGGCTCCTTCCACCTCTGCCAGGAGATGCAAGGCCAGTGCTCGGCCCCGAACCAGCTTAACAGCAACCTCAAACTGCAGTGTCCTGAAGGCTACGCCATAGGTAGGACGGGTACATGCGGGCAGCGTGGGAGGGGCAAGAGCTCTGAGAGTCCAGGCTGGTGCCTCACTGGGTAGCTGGGTGCCTCAGCCCTGTAAGGGCCCTGTGGGAGGCCCTGGGGTAAGGGAGACAGATGCGACGAGGCTCCTTCCTCCTAGGGAGAGCTGGGGTGGTGATGCAGTGGGGGTGGGAGGAATGTGTATAGCAGGCTCACGTACACAGGGCTCTGAAAGAGGTTGTTGGGCACAAAATGATATTCCAGACAGAGGAACCGTGTGGCAGGGGGAGGGAGGTGAGAAAGCAATATGGCTCGGTGTGGCTGCCTTTATTATGAATCACAACATTTGCATAAGTAATCACTCATGAGCATCTACATGGGTCAGCGTATGTCCTTCCTCTCAGTAACCTTCAACAACTGAGCAAACAGAGGCTTAAAGGGAGAATAGAACCTGCTCCAAAGCCCGAGTTCTTTCCATTGGCGTCTTGGTTGCCTCCGAAATGAGGCTAAACAAATAGCCGCTTCAAAATACCATTTGCGTGGTGATAGGCCAGTTTGCAAAGTACTTGCAGCGAGGGGACAACCTGGGCTTCGATGCCAGGCATTGGCCTGTTGGGAACCAGGAGCCTGGACAAACACATTAATCACCTTCCTGAGGCTTTCTGGGGAACGGGTTGTGCATGGGGCCTGAGCTCAGCTGAGGACAGTGATGCTGACCTTTTGGGCAGATTCCCTAATTGACCATGATGAAAAGCCCAGGGAATTGAATGTCCTCTCTCATGGCCAGTGTGATTTATGGGATAATCACCCGGCATGTCTGGAGCAGAAGGTTATCTGTGCACACACTCCCTCCCCAGCCTGTTCTGCACCCAGTAAGATGAGTGGCCACTTCCTGAGAGCAGAGGTGGCAGGGCCTGAGCATCCTGCTGGAGATGGAAGCCACCTCAGAGCCCAGACCTAAACCTAGAGACCTAGAGAAGAAACCAGCTCTCTTTTTTATATTTAGCCCTGCTCCCATGAAGGTTCAGAAGGTACTTTAAGATCCTACTGAGCCATGGTCCAAAGGGCCTTGACAGGAGGCATGCAGACAGGTGGGATCTCCTAGGGCTGCCAATGTGGACATTCTAGAATGTGGGACAACAGGTGAGCAACAGGGAGTCTGTTGGCTGCTCCTTCCCAAGGCCAGCACTCTGCCTGCCATTGCTGATGGATGTGCATGGCTCTGGACACGACGTCTGTGACGGTGTCCCTACCCCCAGCTTAGGATACGCAGTGAATATTCAGTCATACAACTGGCAGTAAGCAAAACACTGATTGAGTTACTTTATTTAAAAAAAAAAAAAAAAAAACACCTATAAAAACAGACTTTATGTCTACACCCACTGGCGCATTCAAATATATTCACACATGCATAAATAAACACAAGCACACATATTTGGGAACGAAACGTAGACCCAAACACACACATCCTTCAGTAGACTCATGCCCAGCACGTACACATCAGCCAAATGTCGCCCAAACACAGCACCCAAACAAACACATCCACACAGGCACACGGAGCGCATGCTCACATGTGACACATCAGTACAGACACCTCTTAGGCACCAAACATATCACACACACAGAAAGATGCACAAAAGGCAAACACACCAATACATCTCCTGCCCACCTGTGTATATACTGCATTCCCATAACACAACCGCTTGCAAATGAGCCGCAGAGCCTGGCTCTGCGTTCCCTCAGCACAGACTAGCAGTGGGCAGAGGTGGCAGCAGCATCCCTTCACCCATGAGCTTCCTCATAATCCGAGCGGAAAGGGAAGGAAGTCTGTCTGACCTTGGAACCTGAATCTCCTTCCCTCCCCTGCAGCCCACGCTCCCACTGCCACACAGATAGATGCCCTTGATGAATGGGTAAGCCAGGTTGGTGGGGGCACACAGGGGAGCCTAGCCTGGAAATGCAATGGGGGACACTGCGAGAGAAGGAAAAGGGAGGGCATGGTCCCTCCTGGACACCCAGCTCCCTCCCCTCCTCACCTCCTAGGAACCAGCTCCCTCCCCCTCCTCACCTTCTGGGACCAGCTCCCTCTCCCTCTTCACCTCCGAAGGCCCCTCAGACATCATCCCTCCCAGGTGGAACCCCTCCCTGGGGAGAGCCCACCACTCTAAGGAGAGGGACTTTGTCAGAAGCCTTGTAGACAAGAGCTGGGCCTGCGTGGGACTTGGGAGCTGGAGGGCACATCTGGGGCTGCCCAGAGGTGTAGCTTGGGCCAGCCCCCCAGCAGGACAGGGAGGCTCTGTGGCAGTGAGGAGCCCTCATGGTTACTGCCACCAAAGCTGCCACCTCCCTACTCCTTGGGGAAGGAGAGGCAGGCAGGGGCCTGATGAGATCACTGTTCTGTGATGATGCCAATTAGGACTCATATATCACAACACAGCAGGGAGAGGGAGCTGGTCTCCAAGCCCAGAGCTGCCCAGGCGTGAGGGAGGAAAATGCAGAGCGGGGTGCACAGAGAAGAGGAGCTAAGACAGGCGACATCCCAGGGAGGCCACTGTCTCCTGTGCTGACCAGAGTTTTTCCTTTCTCCTTCTTGGGTAAGACAGCTTTGGTCTGTGTCTCAGAGGCTGCCCCTTTTTTTGAGAAGCATTTTATCCTGGAAGCCTGGCATTGTCCTTGCTCTCTAGAAACTCCAGAATGGATCTCATGACAGCCACCAGCTTTGAGCTTTCCCCACTGCTCAGCCAGAGTCCCCTTTACTCTCATCACTCATCTTTGACTTTTTACATTCCCACCTTGTTTTCTTCTCCTCTGGTCCTTCACCACCACCCCCCATCCTTATCCCCTTCCACTATCGCCCTCACTCTTCCTCTGTGAGACTCCTTTATTTCCATCACTGGGCTTGGAAGTCAGAGAGACGGGTTTTCATTCATGGTACTGGACCGCCAGCTCTGTAACCTGAGCTCTGGCCACCTGTGAAAGGGTTTGCGGACACCTCTCTTAGGGGCTAGATGTGCAGAAGGAGCAACCTCTGAAAGACACTCACAAGACAGGTCGCTTCACCATCTGGGCTCAGCATCCTGGTGCTTAAAGTGAGGAAGTTCTAACCTGTCCTGCACCTGCCATCCACCCTCGCTTCCTCTTCAGTCCCCATGCCTCTTCCACTGAAGGGAGGACAAGCTGCAATAGGAAGGACATGGGATAAACTATGCATGTGTGAGAAGTGTGTGTGTGTATGTACATGTCCATATGTGTACAGGGTGGGGCAAGAGTAGGGTTTTGTTTTTTTAATATATTGATTATTGATTTCAGAGAGGAAGGGAGAGGGAGAGGGAGAGAAAGAGAAACATCAATGATGAGAGAAATCATTGCTCGGTTGCCTCTTACATGCCCCCTTCTAAGGATCAAGCCCACAACCTGGGATGTGCCCTGACTGGGACTCCAACTGTGACTACCTGGTTTATAGGTTGACACTCCACCACTGAACCATGCTGGACTTGAAACACAGAGTTTATTCTTGTATTATTATCTATTAACTAGAGGCCTGATGCATGAAATCGTGCATGGGTAGGGTCCCAGGGCTTGGCCTGCAATCAGAGCCATTTGGGACCTTCCAGCTACCAGCCAGGGCCTTCCTTCATTTCGCCCAATGCCCTGGTGGTCAGAACACATCATAGTGAGTGACTGAACTCCCTGTCTCCCGGTCAAACTCCCGAGGGGACACTTTACATATTAGCCATATATATATATATATATATATATATATATATATATATATATATATATATATGGCTAATATGTAAAGTATCCGTGTGTGTGTGTGTGTGTGTATAATTTTACTATTTTCCATAGGAACAACTTTTATTGATATTTTACAGAGAGGAGGGAGAGAGAGAGAACTAGACACATTGATGAGAGAGAAACATCAACCAGCTGCCTCTTGCACACCCCCTACCAGGGATGTGCCCGCAACCAATATACATGCCCTTGACCGGAATCGAATCTGGGACCTTTCAGTCCGCAGATCAACGCTCTACCACTGAGCCAGATCGGTTTCAGCCATAGGAACAACTTTAAACCTATTTTCGCCCCACCTTCTATGTATTACATACACACATTTGAAAGGGAACCTTTAGAATGGCTAATAGAATTATATATACAGCCAGTAGGATTTGACTGTGAGAAAGCAGTGGTGGGATGATTCAGGGGGAGAGAATGAAAGCAGGACAGAGGCAAGGATGTGTAGGGTTCAGAGGGAAAGCCAGGCACAGGCCAGTTGAACTAAACAGAGTGTGAACGTGGTTAGTGGGAGATGAGACCATGAATGTGGTTAGTGGGAGACAAGACCATGAAGGCTGGAGAAGGGGGTTGGACCTTGCCCTGGATGTGGGGAATCTTTGAAAGGTCTTCAAGCAAAGTAGGTACCAGACAGAACTGGGCTTGGGGCCGATGCAAATGGCAGTGGGTATCAGCTGGACTGGAGATGAGAGAACAGTCAGGGAGACCGGGGGCAGCCCTGCTGGGGAGCTCCCTCTCTCCCACTGCCCTCAGGGTAGGCAGCCCAGTCCACTGGTGACCAGGGAGCTGCAGGGCCCACACTAGAGGAGAGCAGCCCTGGGCATTAGGAGACTGGGGCTGATTGGCCAGCTCACACTCTGCTTCCCCACAGGGTCCGAGTGTGCCACCACCTGCCTGGACCACAACAGCGAGCCTGTTATCCTGCCCACGAACGTGACCGTCCGTGACATCCCTCACTGGCTGAATCCCACGCGGGTGCAGGTAAGTGACAGGGGCTGCTTACCTGGGCCTAAGGAGAGGAAAATGCCTTTGGCAAACACTTGCGTTGCCTGGGTGCTGCACTCATCGCTTTACCTGTTACACCATCACATTGCCACACCTCGCTGTGCAGTGGGGACTGGCTCACAGTCACTCTCCGGGCCTTAACTATTTAATACTTGCCCTCTGTCGGGTCCTGTGCTTAGGCCCTATGATTTCCTGTACCACTGAATCCTGATGACAGCCCAGGGGACTGATGTTTCTAGTTACAGAAGAGGAAACCTGGACATGCACCCATGCGTAGAGAGCACAGAGTTGGGTCACATACGCACTCATGAGAGAGGTGCTCTCAGGCTTCTCATTGTGAGCTCTTAGAAGCCTTCTACCTCCTACATCCTAGATTTCTGGCATCTTCCCTGTGCTTTCCTAATTTGTTGGAAAGCAATTAATGTGATATAGGGAACTAGTAACACTTATGTGCCCAGTACTGGCACACAAGACTGCATTTAAATCTTGGAATGGTTTTGTGGTGCAGGATGGGAAGCACTGTCTGCCTTCTCAACCTGTGGACTCTGCGATCTCAGGAGTGACAGCTTGAACCCAAGCCTGAGCCACATGCCCTGCTCTACTCAAGGCGCAGGCTGGCTTGCCTGGCCAGACCTTGGGAGCCCCGCCTCCTGACAGCCAAGAGCATCGCTCATTTCATTTGGGGGCTGGCCACTCCCACTTCCCTTTATGTGATCAGTCAGGGACCCCAAGCTGAAGTGGGGGCCCACTCTTATCCTCCAGAGCAGCACGCATTCCAGGCCACAGGAACTGGCTCTGGGCACTGCCCTTCCCCTGGAGAAAGTGGGAGGCGGAGGCTCCGGGGTGCAGGGTTGAGGTTCCTGCCCTGGTGTTGGGAGGCCTCCGGTCTGCCCACCTGCAGATCCTGCCCAAGATAGCTGGGGCAGAACCTGATACCAGGTGTCCTGTTTCTCAAATGAGTGGAGGGCAGGATTGTGAGGGCTTAGTCAGCACTCCGGGTCTAAGGACCTGGCCAGCCCCTCTCTGCTGCCCCGTGCCCCTCAGCATTCTCCTCCCCTTCCCCTTCTGCTGCTCTCTGTGCCATCTCCAACTTTTCTCCCTTTCCTGCCTCTGTTTTCCCTGTGTCTCTATTCCCTCTCCTGACAGGACTGTCACCTCCCTCTTCCTTCCCCGCCCACTTTCCCTCTATGTCCACCCCCTCTGTCTGCCTGGTCTCTGTCTTCTTGCCTCTGATTCTCCCACACACCCACCAGGCAGCCCTGTTTCCCTCAGCTCGCACTCCTCCAGTCCTTTTCTGCACTGGCCATGCCTTTCCCCACTCCTCACCCAGGGTCACACAGGAGCAGAGCTTGGACCATGATCTCAGCTCCTTCCCTCGTGCCTCCCTCTCGCTCCTACTCAGACTCCCACACACCCACAGGCAGGGACACACTCCCACACAGTGCAGACTCAGGGGACACTCACACCCAGGACCGCGGGGCTCCTTTGCCTGGCCCAGACCATGGTGCCTTAGCCCAGCTTCTACTCAGGCCTTTGCTCCACACCCTCCCCACCCCAGGTGAATTCCCATTCCTCCCTCTGAGAGCCCCGGGCACTAAAAAATTCAGTTATAATTCACTGTGAAATAAATCCAGGGATTTGAAAGCCTGCAAGCCCCCCTCCTCAGTTGCCCACCCGCTGCCTGTCTGCCCCAGCCCCCACTCAGTTCCCTGGTCGGCCGGCCTGCCTTTATTGATGCCGGCCTACCAAGAGAGCCATAACGAGGTTCAGACCTCCACTGGTCTCCGGAGGCCTCATTATCCAGGAGGAAAAAAATGTGGTAGAAAAAGGGAGGAGGGCGAAGGGCAGAGATTGATGATTTCCAGGAATACGGCAGAAAAGCTGGCCTCTGCTGCACACTTGCCCCTTGTGTGACAAGAGCTGCAGAAATAGAGCTGCTGGTGCAGGCAAGGCGGCACCAGGCCCCGCACAGCTCTGTCTTCTGCGGGTCTGCCTCCTAGGACCGGTGTGAGGTAGATGATTGGGGCAAGGGTCTGCCCCAGCTCCTTTCACCTTTGTCCCAGGGTAAGAAAGTAAGAGGCGATCAATAAAAGGGGATGGCAGGGCCAGAGCAGTAGTAGTTCTCCCACTAGAATTGGACTACCGGCTGGCCCCCCATATTGCTAAGTTGAATTTCTTCAAGTCTCAAGACTCTTCATTTGTGTGCGGCCCTTCTCCAGAACCTGAACCCTGAATTGGAACTCTTTCTACACGGGCCGTGAAAGAGATTCTTATACCCTTCCTCTCTGAAATCAATAAGAAAAGAAAAGTAAGAGGCAAGAACTGACAGTTCATGGATGCCTAATGTGCATCAAACATTGGGTCAGGCACTTTCCATTGCTTATTTTTCACCCCAAACTCCAACTCACACACACACGTGCACACACACTCCCCTATTAGGTATGTAGTAGTCTCTGTTTTGCCAGTGGAGGAAATGGAGTCTCAGAGAGGAAGCCTCATGCCTAAGAGGAAGTGAATGAGGACTCATGTAAATTTAATGTTACAGCTTACTCCAGCTACCCATGCAGCCTATCTTGAATGTACAGTAATGATAAAGGCAAAATGTTTACTGACCAATTATCAGTAAATGGTTAGCAACTGCTTCTCCCCTGAAAATGAACTCTGATTTGTAGCATTTGCCACTTACTGTGGTGTAAATATTCTCACCGTGGCAAATACCAAGTTTTCCAAGTCACTCTCACTGCACACAAAGTTAGGAAGAGACAACCTCACTGTTGCCTCTTGTGAGCCCAGGCAAGCCTGCTACAGCACAGCACTGGTGCTCAGTACATGACGGGCTCAGTTCTAAGCACTGGCATATAAGGAGAGAACGAGAATTGCTTAGATGAGGACTGTATCACCATTGACATTATGTGCTTTGTGAAGGCAGGCCTGTGGTCATCTTATTGACCATGATACGCCCCGCAGTGCCTACCTCACAGTAGGTGCTCACTAAATATTTATGATTGCTGAGTGAGGTGACCACGGTTCTAGTTCAAGCCCAGGAACCTTCTTGCTGTATGTCCTTGGACAAATCTTATCACTTTTTTAGGCCAAGGTCTCCCCATCTGTGAAATGAAAGAGAGGCTGAGATCAGAGAGCCACAAACTCAAACATCTGCAAGATCCTGGCAGGTGGGCTAAAATGGACTTGTTTCACTTAATGGGTGAAGCAGGGCAAACACATCATTTTTTTTTTATGTTGAATACTTACGTATATATTTCATAACAGCAGTAGTATTTACAATAATTATTTCAGACTTAGAGGAAATATAACAAACCCTCATGTACATACTACCCAACTTAACAAAGAGGACTTTCAGATACAGTTGAGGTTCTTTACCTCCAACTGATCTATAACTTACATGCTCATCTTTAGCATACTTTGTGGTAAGTATTTATATTTGTGTCCATTCATGAAACCAGTACCCAATCTGGGTGGGGACATTACAGCTTCCTCTCCATGCCAGGCAGTGCCCCCCCCCCCCAAAGTAATCCCTGCTGATTTTATTTTTTTAATTGGTATATAATTGGCCTATAAGGTTATATTAGTTTCAGGTGTACTAAAATATTTGATTTTATTTAAGAACAAAACACTGTATCCCTTAATTTTTTTAAAGTACTCCCCTGTGGGAGTTCCCCCTAACTATCCCCTCTTTTCCTACCCGCACACACAGGTACATACACATGCACTTTGAAAGTAATAGGGAAATCTTCCAATCTAATAAATGAGGCAATGCAACACAAATGCAAGGATACCCTGTTTCCACGAAAATAAGACAGTGTCTTATATTAATTTTTTCTCCCAAAGTTGCGCTAGGTCTTATTTTCAGGGGATGTCTTATCTATCCATGCACTAGGTCTTATTTTCGGAGAAACACGGTAGATTGAAAAGCCCCTCAGGCTGAATGCTGGAGAGACTACAGGGAGTGGTGGGGACTGTGGTGAAATGAGGAGAACAGGCTGCTTCCAAAGGGGGCAGCTCTAGCCAAGTGTTGCAAGATGGAAATATGGGCTTGGGGTGGGCAGATTTTTCATTTTTTCTTGAGTCTTTAAAATATGAAATCTCTTGATTTTTTTTTTTAAATATTGGCAAATAATTTTGACTTCTATTAAGGACTTCATGTGCCAAACCAAACATTTCTGTGGGTTGTGTAGCCTGGAAGCTGTTGGCTCACAACCTTTGAATGAGATCGACTCTTCTGGCCCTGGGTACCTAGAATTCAGGGTTCAGGCTCTGCCGTGAGCTCCTCAGGAGTACCTCCTTTCTGCCTGGCACATCCTCACCCAGAGGAGCTGGAGAGTTTCCCGAGGGAAAATGCTGCTCACAACCTCAGATACTTACAATTCCTCTACGTAGATGGGGCCTTGAATTTTATAATAGCATCTGAGAAAAGAATGGAAGAAGGAAAGAGAGGAAAAGAGGAAGAAAGGGCCAGAGGGAGGGAATTAAGGAAAGAAAAAAGAAGTCAGCTTTTATTGAATATCTGTGAGATGCAGGCCCTGCTTGTTAGGCAATTTCATATATGCTATCAGGAGGGGTGTGGGATCTGAGCTCAGGATGAGGAGGCTCAGTGTTTTTTCTTATTTGTCAAGTTTTGCCTGGGACCCGTCTTTTAGATACTCTGCTCACTCCAATGTTTGTCTCAAAGCCTCTCCACCTTTTTAAACCTTGGTCTATCCATCGGTCAAAAGAATAAGCCACGTTATGTTTGCAGCTTCAGGGGCTAGGGGAATCTGAAGGAGAGTGTGGCATTCAAAGTATAGACCTGGAAATTAGATGGATGTGGGTTTAATTCCTGACTCCTATCATCTATGTGTATGATTTGGGGCAACTTGTTTAACTTCTCTGTGTTTCAGTTTCCTCTTGTGTAGACCAGATTTTAAATTAGTACCTATTTCATGGTTATAAGAATTAGATGAAAGTTCTGAGCACAGGTCTTGGACCACAATATTTGCTAATAGAGGATTTTGTGTTGATAAGGATCTGAATAATATGATCGGGTTGATGATGATGGAGATGATAGTAGTGGTGGTGGTAGTGTGGCAGCAGTAGTTCTGGTGTTATTGGGACAGTGATGGTGCTGGTACTAGTGGTGATAGTGGTGAGAATGGAGGTGATGATAGTGGGGTTGATGATAATGATGGTGGTAGTGAGGGTGGAAGTGTGATGATACGATTGGTGTTGGTAGTGATGATGGGTGGCAGTGAGGGTGGAGGTGATGATGTTAGTGTTGATGTTGTTAACAGTAGTGAGGGAAGTGATGACGATATGGTTGATGGTAGTGGTGATGATGATAGTGAGAGTAGAGGTGATGATAGTAGAGTTGGTGATGATGATGGTGGTGGTGATTAAGTTAGGGGTGATGATGGTGGTGGTGGTGGTAGAGGTGATGATAGTGGGGTTGGTGGTGTTGATGATGGTGGTGATAGTGCTAGTGTTGTTGACAGTGATGATGGTGGCAATGGCATTGATGCTGCTGATCACTGCAGCTAGGAAAACAGTATATTCTTCCTATGCACCAAAGCAGGAAAGGAAAGCTGCCTTACAAATCCTGGTGTGAAAGGACTCTGATGGGACTAGAGGTCTCACTGGCATCAAGGGGAGCAAAGCCGAAGGGCCCCATTGGGATCTCACAAAATGTGCTGTAAACAGTCCACCCTTTCCTTCATATCCTGCTGCTTGTCCCCTTTCCCAGCTCTCCTCGCATACAGAGGGGCCCTGTAGTGAGACAGGTGGGGCATGCAGCTCTGAGGAATGGTGGAAACTCCAAACACCTTGGAAAGATAAATAGGCTCATGCAGATGGTATAAAAGTTCTTTTTCTGAACTCACGTCAGGTAAACCTCAACTGACAGAAACATGTATAACCACACCAAGACACTCCTATGGACGGATTAAATTAGTTCCCAAATAAGTAAGGGGAGGGATGGGCATCAAATCCCTAGTGGATCCTAACCCTGCTGTTTCTACTACTTCAACCATTACCGAGTGCCCCTCCAACATCCTGTATTTTGGCTGGGAACAGACTCTGCAGCCCAAAAAATGAAAGTATGGTTAAAGTTTCTCAGAGAATGAAAGCAGGCGATTCTCTCTACTTCTAGCCCCATGGCTGGGAATCAGGGCACAAAAGCAGCTAAGCTGGAAGAGAGGAACATGAGGGGCACTCACATTTCTTCACTTGGTCAACACGTATGTGTTTGCTGTGCTCCATGCCTGGTCCTGAGGAGAGACAGAGAGGTCTCAAACCTAGGCTCTGCCCTTAAGAACCTTAAGTAATCAGTCTTAGGTTAACCATTTCCATATTATTTATCTCTATGTCATCACAGCAAGCCTACGACACTTTCAGTGCCCATTTAACAAATGGGAGGACCAAGTCTGAGAGTGGAAATTTACAGAGCAATTTTAAGTCATAATTGCAACCACGCCCAAGGTTCCTTTCCATATATTGCTTTGCCTAAATCTATTGGGAAAAGGCAGACTTGTCAATAGAGGCAGTAGGGAGCTAGATAGATTTCACATTTTAAGACTCCTGGCAGATTTTTGAAGTAGGCTTTTTGTCCAAGATCTTTAATTCATTCTACACTAAACTGGTTCTTTAAACTAGACACTGAGGTAGGCATAGTAAATGTCCTGATCCTCAAGCCACACGCAGCTCTTTGGCCCCTTGAGTGTGGCTCTTCCACAAAACACCATGTGTGGGCGCGCACATACAGTGCAATTGAAACTTCGTGGCCCATGCACAGAAGTCAGTTTTTTACTCTCAAAAGAAATTTCAATCATTGTACTGTTGCTATTTGGCTCTGTTGATTAATGAGTTTGCCCACCACTGCTCTAGGAGAAGGGGGAAAACGAGAAAATACAGTCCATCGATAAAATCATCTCTATCCTGAGATGGATCCATTCATTCATTTATAACATAAATACTTCCTACACTCCTCCATGTGCCAGGCACCAGTCTAGGCCTGAGAGATCCAAGGTGAACCAGAGATGCAGTGTGGCAGAAAAGAAAGGCACCCCTACCAGTTTCAGACATGTCTTAGAGTCATGTGATCCTCAGTTTCAAGCTCACCAAGAAACCTAACTATTATTTGAGTTCCAGATAGGTCTGCCCTCAGGGAAAGAATGAGCCAGTCACATGGCTTTTCCACATCCTGACCATGTGACTATTTCTTTTTTAAATATATTTTCATTAATTTCAGAGGGAGAGAGAGAGAGAAATATCAATAAGAATCATTGATCAGCTGCTTCCTGTAAGCCTCCTACTTGGGATTAAGTTCGCAACCTGGCATGTGCCCTGACCTGGAATTCAATCATGAATTTTAATTTCAATTCAAACCTCAACCACCGATCCCTACCGGCTGGGCTATTTCTTAATTAAAATTTATCAACTGGCTCTCAGCCAGGAGAACAAGCCCCGATCATATAGTAGACTTCCATGGCTGGCCGCAGACACAGTTACTTCTCACTACAAATCTAAGAATTTGCCTCCTGGTCATTTTTATCTCATGTTTTACTTTTTAAAAGAAATCATTGTTAATCTGAGATGGAAAACAAGTCATTTATTGTGGACTAGAGAAGGGAGCTTCTAGGATGGTTATGTTAGCCCCATTCCTGATGCTATTTCATTTCCCTAGTTTTATCTTTCTTTTTTTTCACCTACTTTAAAAATTACCCTCATGTTGGATGCTATGCTATGAGCTGCTTTACATTATTTCCAAAGTGACTGCTAGATTTCAAATCCTGATTTCTCCATGTAACCGCTATGGAGCCTAGGGTATTAATTGTCCTTATGACCTAAGAGTAATGCCCACCTCACTGCCTGGCAAGAAAGAAATAAGATCATGCATAAAGCAATTAGTACCGTGAATGCACTCCATACGTTGTAGTTGTCACTATCATAACAGCACTTGTTATTAAAGGAGGCTATAAATAAATACATATATGCATACCTGTCAGCTCTGCCTGAAGGTGGGGGGAGGGGAGAGCAGCACAGAGGCAGGGAGTCTGTAGCAGAAAGTTCAGAGATAATGAAAGATTCTTCAGGTGAAAAGATGGGGACAAGCTGTTTGGGGAAGGAGAGCAGCAGGAACAAAGTCACAGGGATAGGGAAGGGACGTATGGGCCATCTCAGGGAAGTGTGAGCAGGCCCATATGGCAGGGCAGCAGGTGGAGGCCTGAAGGGTTCTCTGTCTCCACGGGTCCCAAAGTCAAGGTTAGTTCATTCATCCTCTGGCTCTCAAACAGCACCAGAATCATTGGGAGGCTTGTTTTTGAAATGCAGTCAGTCCCTAGCCGTGAACTGCAGAGATTTAGATTTATTAGATGCAAGGTGGCCCCAAAGAATGTGCCTTTTTAAGGAGTTCCCACAGTGGCCCTGGGCAGCGGTCCCCAGTGTTCGCATTCTCCCTGCTCCACACCATTCTCCATCTTCCTGTGGCAGCCACACACATGTACACACATAGTTACATGCACACACATAGACATGCACGCACTTGTACACACACACACCACTCTCTCTCCCTCCCACCTTACCCCCAACTCTGTCCATGGGTCAAAGATGAGCCACACATTTTCTGAAGGGCCTTTCCGATCTTCTCCATCCCTCCATTCTTCTTGTCAGCCCTATTCCTGCCAGTGAAATACAGACTCAGGACCCCTACAGTGAACACAAGAGTTACTTTAATCTTATGGCTCCTGCTATTGCAAATACCTGGGCAGTTTCTCCACGTAAATCCTAAGGGGAGGTTAGAACTCGGAAGATCCAAAAAGTGGTGGAATGTGGTACCAGCAAAGAGATGCTCCCTCCTAGAACCAAACCCATCTGACCCGTTCCTGTCTCCACAGAGAGTCGTCTGCACGGCTGGCCTCAAGTGGTACCCTCATCCTGCTATGATCCACTGTGTCAAAGGCTGTGAGGTGAGTCCCCAGAAATGACCCTACTGTTACTATTGTTCTTGTGTCAATCATGGCTACCATTTACTGTACCTGCTAAATGTTGTAAATATCCCTTTAACTGGCCTGCTAGCCAGAAATCAGTAACCCTAATCTACGGCTGGTGGAATTGAGGCACAGAGATATCAACAAACATACTCAAAAATATGTTTACTGGATAACAGAACCAAGATCCTGAGCTGGGTTTTTCTGCTTCCTAGCCCTGCATTTAGCATAATAGTGCATTTCAGAAGGAGAGTGGCAGGGAGACTGTACTGATTTAGCATCTGTAATATGCTGGGCTTTTACCAGCATGTTCACATTTAACCTTCACAGAACCATGTGAGGCAGGTGTTTTCCATTCCTACATTATGGTGAGCATCTTAACAGGTCATGTCCTTCTGCCATATGTGTGTCACTCACTTTCTCTTCAACCCATTAGACTCAGCCACTGAGCTTAAATATGATAAATGGATAACAGAACCAGGATGCTCTCTGACCCTTCAACTCAGAGTCACAGCCATGCCCTGGGCCTTGGCACTAAGGAGCTCTGTCTTTGTGTATCAGGGACAAGCTTAGCAAGGGCAGAGTACTGGGGGTGTAACCTGTGCTCTCAGGAGGTGCTTTTCGTAAAACTAAAAGATGCGTCTGTGTGCCCCATGCCCTGTCGTCCTGCTCAGCTGGTGGTGAAGAGAGACCCCAAATCCCATCAAGGTGGATGTCCAAATCTCCATGGTTCCCTAGAGCCCACTCAGGAAAAGGCAGCTGAAAAGGACTGGACTGTGCTCTAGAAAACGTTATATTCGATGAAATTCTTACAATGCCAGAACCAGAAATGCTCTTCTAGGTGACCTAAACCTGACCTTTTAATCTAAAGATGGAGGAATGGAGATCTAGATGATGGGTGGTTGGGCTAAATTGTGATAGAATGCCCCACCTGGAAGGGTGCTTAGTGTGTCTCATCCTGTTCCATTTCTTGTATAAACTGGACATTGTGGGCCAGAGAGGGGATGGACTGGACCAAGGTGGCACAGCATAACACACAGAGCAGACATGAGCCTAGGGCTTCTGACTTCCAGGGGGTGCTCTATCTTCCCCAGTAGGTCACCTCCCACTTTTGACCCATCCCCTGCCCTGTGTCACAAGACAGTCCCCTGGGTCATGCATTTTTGTCTGCGTATTGGCTAGAGACTTCCTGTGGCACCTTCTCAGGGCACCTGGCACTGGAGCCTTTAAGAAGCCCATTCTCTCAAGAGTCATCAAGGGACAGCAACACCAAGGCCACAGCCATGTGGTTGTTGCTTCCTCCCATCTCCCTGGATAAGTCCAGCATTTCGGGCAAAGGGAGCTTGGGTTACCTGGGCACGCGTCCTGCTGAGTCGACGGTCTGGGCACCAGTGTGACAGCGGAATTCGATCCCTCCTTTGACTCAGCACTGGGACCTGTAAAACCCACCTGTCAGGCTCCAAGCCCTGACAGTGATGCTTATCGCCCTTGCCCTGGCAGGTGCCCCTACTCTCCTTTCTTCCTGAGCTCCGCGCTAATAGTTGGACTCTTGTCTGGGACTGAAAAGGATGCTTAGAGATAGAAAGGCTGGGTCTAGGGAGGGGCCATCACCTGGAGGGTATAGAAGTAGCCAGGATCCAGAAAGGGTTTGAGACACTGAACCCCTAGCCTTGTACCCCAAATTGTGTCCAAAGTGGTCATTCACTCAGTCATCATAGCCCCACTGAGTGCTTATTATGTGCCCGACATGGCTCTTGGTTCTGAGAATAAAATGATCTCAGCCAAGTGAGAACAGTCACTATGCTCCCCTGATTTGCCCGTGGGGTCTTCTTGCCCTCCATCTATCTGTGCATCCATTCAGCCATGTGTGCCTCCATTGTCCATCATTTTATTAAATAAACACTCAAGGAACACATATAAAGTTTTGCTCACATTTCCAGGCATTTTTCTGGGAAATAGGGGCAATACCAATGGATGACACACACTCCTGTCCATAAGGAACTCACAATGTAGTAAAAGAACAGACAGGAAACTGCAGGAAGGCAGAAGGTCTTGGGGGTGTCAGGGAAGGCATTTTAGAGGGACCATGTTGGAGCTGGGTCTTGAAGAGCAAATTGCTTCCATTGTTAGAAGTAGCGGCATGAGAAATATCAGACAGGAGAAAGCTCTAAGTAGCAGATCCTTGCACATGCCCCTTTCTCTGGAAATTCTCCCTTATCCATCCCGATCTGGTTAATTCCCACTCACCTCCCAATCTCAGCCAAAATGTCCTTTCCTCAGGGACACTTTCACAAAGCTTGCTGATGAGGCCAGCTCCTTTGACTCTACTGAAAAGGTCTCATGAACCTTTCTCCCATACTCCTCTTCATGTTGACATTGGCTAGTTAGATGTGGTTACTTGGGCAGTTCACACTCAGTATCTTAATATATTTGCATATATTTTATTATAAATTATTTTTAAATTACCTCCTACCAGTAAAAGCGGGGCAAGGAGACTCAATTTTGCTTATCATTTCTTAAAGTAAAATGAGCCCCCTACATTAGAAAGATGTAAGTGGTCTAGCTTTGCATTCCCCCGTATACAGGAGTGTCTCTCCCAGGGTAACCATACTTTAATTGGGGAAAACTTGGCTACATAAGACTCTTTATAAATGTAGAAGTGTTAACTTATCCAAGGGGGCGTTGGGATCTGAAGCCAAGAAGAGGTTTGGGAGAAGATGAGAGACGGCTAAATAATTATAGACCTATGCCTGCCACCCCACCACCCCTTGCTTTAGGATGCTAATAAGGCACCTTTCCTTGCCTCTCTCCTCCTCTAGCCCTTCATGGGAGACAATTATTGTGATGCCATCAACAACAGAGCCTTCTGCAACTACGATGGTGGGGACTGCTGCACATCCACGGTGAAGACCAAAAAGGTAGGCAGTACCCTCCTCTCCAGCAGCCCAGCTTACTAGGCCAGGATGCCCCCTACCTGTTGGGCAGCCCATTGCTCTGGTTGTGACAGCACCTGCCTACTAGCTGTATTGTATTATATCATACTATCTTGTGCTTTTTATTCTTTTAGCCAGTAGTGGAGCTGTCATGTGCTTGGACCCTGAGCAAGGTTTGGAGGCTCATGGATGATTTTTGCAAATGTGGTCCCTTCCCCTGAAAGCTTAGACAAGTGACAGTGTAATACATACTTTTAAAGAGAAGGACAGAGTGCTGTGCAGCCACAGGTAAGAGGTGGAGAAGGCTCTGCAGGAGGCTCGGCATTCAGTGCTGCATTTTGAGGGTGGAGGGGAAGAAGTGGGGGTGGTGACCAGGGAAATGGGGTCAGAGACAGAGACTGCCATGAAAAGTCCTGCAGAGAACATGCCTTTCGAGGGTGATGGCTATGGTCAAGGGGAAGAGAGAAGACAGGTCACTCTCAACAAGGTCCATCCTGGCCCTTGAGCATCATAACCCCTCTTGTACGATGAGCCTTGGTTGTGATTCCCTTCTTTGTGCATCAGGAGTGATTCAAGTGTTTATAGGAAAACTGAAACATTGGGCTATGGTGCATATCAATCACTCAGAGACGGAGATGGTGGAAATGCCCACCTTCCTCCAGGCCAGAGCTGGGAGGATAGTGGTCAACCTGGGCCACTGAGTTGAGAATTATTTGTGTGATCATTGAGAGAATGGGAAATGATCTCTGTTTTGATTCTCATCTGAAAATCACCCGATATCAGATGTCATTTGATCTACTCGCTCTTTCTTCCTTCTCCAGCCATGTTATACATCAATTTTGGCTTTTTTTGTGTTAAAAAGGCTCCCTTCTTCCACTCTAAACTGTCCTTCCTGTTAGCCAAGGCTACGGAATTCAGGTGGCCAGGCTTTTTTCCTGCAGGGAGATGCAGTTTCATGTGCATGTCTGGGAACCAGCACAGCCTGGACCCTGCGCACACAGCAGGCATTGCACCTCCCTGGCGAAGCTCACGGCCTGTGAAGACCAGGCGACATTAGGTAGTGAGGAGCATGACATGCATTTAATCACCTTGTGGGAGAGACAGTAAAGGAGAGGTACAGTCTCATGGAGAATAGTGTTACTGTCACATCTCCCCGAGGAGGTGACGTTTGTGTTGAGATCTGGACCGGGAGTGTACAGCTGAGGGTGAACAGGTTAAGGCAGGATAGACAGGCTGTGAGAGTTGTGTGGCGTGTGGATTGGAGCCTGGAGGCCTCTCTCACTGTGCATATGGCTCAGCCTTAGCGATCAGCTATTGGGAAGAGACTGGGGCTTTCTTCAGATGGGGGATTCCTGGAGGTCTTTTTTCTGGAGAAGAAAGGGTCTCAAACTAAAGTTATTCTTCCTCTCTCAGTTTGACTTCTATTATACATAAACTCTAACTTCTTGAAAACTTTCTACTTTCTTTTGTAAATACCCAGCTACTCCCTGTAATAAACTGGCTTCTAGAGATGAGAGGTGGAGAAAACATATAAGAAGATAAAATACCCCTAAGTGAGCTGCTGAATCTGCCAGACACGGTCAGACACTTGTCCTTCATCACCTTCTTTAACCCTCATTCCAGCCCGGCAGGCTGCTATTCGCCCCGTCGCACAGGTGAGCCAGTTTTGGCTCCAAGGACCTGCGGGACTCACTTGAGTTCACTTGGCCATGAGCGCCGAGGCTCCCATTCCAACCCAGTTCTGTCTGACTCACAAGCCCAGCTTTCTCCCGCATGGGCTGAGTCTCCAAAGAGGAAAGCAGGTGGGGAAGGACCGTATCCTCAGAGCACCCGGGCATGACCTTCTCAGTTCCGGTTGCAGACAGCACACTGTCAATCTAAACTGCCATGGAACCTTGGGTGTGGGACCCTCCCCTTGGCAAGGTGGAAGCTGCTTTTCCCAGCAGCAAAGACAGGGTGGGGAGTAGCAGAGGCTCCCGGCCTTGCCAATCATCCCCGACGCCCCAGACAGGAGTTTCCCTGAGTGGAAAAATGTCCTGGTTTCTGTCTCCAGTTTCCACAGCAAGAAGCCTCTGAGAGCAGGAGAGGGGCCAGATTCCTTCCTCTCCTCCCCTTTCCACCCTTACCTGGTGGTCCCACCTGAACTCTTGGCCCCAGACACATATCAGGGGACATTCCCTGACCATGAGCACCCAGGCTGGCACTCAGAAACTTTTGGAGTGGGCAGACGTGCTTCCTGCACCTTTCCAAGTACAGCAGTGCCATTAATGGAGCACACGTATGTGTTTGGCCATGGTTTGGAATCTCTGTGCCTTAGACCCCAGGACCACTCGACCACATAGACAGCTGAGGCTCAGAGAGATGGAATCAACTGTACGAGGTGACAGAACTTAAGATTTCGCCTTTCCCGACTACAAACAAATAATGTAGCTGCTATTTATCGAGAGCTTGCTCTTTGCCAAGCATGGTGCTAACTGCTTTCACATGTGTCATTTCATTTCGTCGGCACAGTGGCCCGTTGTAGGTAGTGCTTTTGTGTCCTCATTTTACAGATAATGCAGCTCAGGCTCAGGAGGGTTAAGGCCACGCAGCCAGGAAGTGGTAGAGCTGAGATGCAACCCCAGTGACTCCTCACCACACAGCCCTGCCTCTGCACCCAGCCTGGACCTCTCGCTGCTCTGGGCTTGCACTTGCCCTTCCCCTGATGGGTGGGCCTCTCACTTCTCAGTCTCCCTGGACTGAGCCCAGGGTATGAACTTTGGGCTCAGGGTTCAGCACCTTCTCCCAGACTTCCTTCTCGCCAGCTCTCCACCTAACCCTCTCCCTGATTCCCAGGGCTGGGGCCTCCTAGTCACTTGGCCCAGAAGGATGTCTGTCTGCTCCCTCCATCCTTTCTTGTTTGTCTCTGCAGACACCAGCTGTTTCCCACATCTGCCTTGTATGACCTGGGCCCGGCTGACAGACAAGAGCAAGACAGTGTAGGAAACTTGGTCTAACAGGAGTGACCAGTTTCTCACCCAGACACCTGTCTGCAGCGTGAGGCAGACAGGAAGGGGCGGGACTCAGCTTCCCAGTGTGTCAGTGTATTATTTTCCTGGTGGAGCCTAAAGTCTCCAATACAGAGCAGATTTCCAGAGTGGTTGCTTCAGCAGTTTCCCCTCATAACAACAGCAACTAGTATTCCTTTATAATTTCAGTCATTCTAAGTAAGCACACATGGAGCCGTAACAGAGGAGGGGAAATCACCTTAATGCTTCAGGCGCACCCAGGCTGCCTAAGGTGTGGTGGCCTGGGACCAGCATCCTGGTAACGTTTCTGGCAACTAAGAGACTCTCTAGAAAATGCCTGGGAAGGGGGTGCAGTCCCATGCTGCCACTTAGCTCTGTGCCCTTGGGAAGGCTGGTTCACCCTAGCTTTTTATTTCTTGATATTTGGATTAGATTAGTGTCTCAGTATACTCGACAGGGCCTCCTGCATGGTCATTGAGCAAGAACTTGAAGGTTACCAGAGAGTGAAAAGTTAACTCTAGAAACATGACTTTACATGTAGGCTTGCCAGATATATTTGCTAAATCTAAGTGAAGAGAAAATGCTATACTGTGATAGAGCCCATGGTCTAAGGAGGCTAGCGATTCTGTAATGCATGGGAAGACCATCAAAACCATTAGGTGGAAACAGTTTTCTTAGCAGAGTGACCAAGATAAAGGGTTGGACACTGGGTGTGAGAGTCAGGGATGTACCTCAAGGGCCTTTATATCTTGGTTTAGCAACCAGAACAATCCTTTAAAACAAGTCAGATGGTGCCACACCTCTGTGCCACACCCTGCAGTGTCTTCCCATTTTACTCCGAGTAAAACCAGTTCTCCCAATGGCCTTGAAGGCCCACATGCACTGCCCACCCCTTTTACCTCCCTGACTTCACTCCCCACAACCAGTACCCCCTTCACTTGACCCCAGCCCTCTGGACTCCTTGACAGGCCAGGCATTCTCCTGCCTTATAGTTGTCATGGTTGTTTCTTTGGCCGAGAACCTTCTTCTCCATTCCTCCTCATGACTTGCCCTCACCTCCTGCAGGTATTTTTGCCTGAGTGCCATGTTCTCAAGGAGCCCCACCCTGGGCACCCACCTTCTATCGCCCTGGCACTCCCAGACCTATTTGCCTTGGCTTCCACTCCTTCTGTGACACATAACACCTCGCACATACTACAAAAGCTATGCATTATTGATTGTCTGGTAACCCCTGCCCTTCTTGCTGCTGGAATGAAAACTCCAGGAGGGCAAGAGCATGCATTTGATTTGATTTTTGACGAACCCCAGGTTCTGATGTTGTGTGATAATACTGGGCTAGGCTGTGAGCAAGATGGGCTGGGTTCATCCATGCTGAGCTCTCGCCTTGTGGACTGGTGGTGGGCACTGAGAGACTAGTCCCTGCTCACAGAGACACCACAGGTGAGGGGAATCAGTAAGCTTCCAGAGAGGCCAACCCCAGAGCAATTGGGAAAGGTGCAGGAGGTTTTCCCCAGGTCAGAGAAGTAGGGTGATGACAGACACAAGGATGAGAGAGAAGGAGACTTCTGGCCACGGGCATGGTCTGTGCAAAGACCCAGATGTAGGAGAGAGTACTAAGGGAAGTATGGTTCCCTGCATGTGGTGGGAGCACAGGGCAAGCAGGAAATGGGCAAGACATGAGTCTAGAGGGATGAGCAAGACTGATATAGGCCAAGCCAGGGAATTTGAGTTTTATCCAGAGAGCCGTGGAGGCAGTCAACAATTTTAAGTACTGAACCAGCCTAGAAGGTTCTAGAAGGCTTCCTGGAAGAGGAGACAGATGTGTCTAGCTTGGAAGGTTTGTAAGGATAACAGGCGACAAATGCCTAAGCAGATTAATCACCCCTGTCCAAAAATCACTGGCTTTGGGAACACTATGATTTCTTCATCTGGGGTGTAGGTCTGACTTTTTCATGTAATGAATTAGACACTCATTTT